AAAATTTTCATGGTTGAATCTCTATCGATTAAGTACATTATTTATTCATATATACACAAAAATGGAATCCTTAGCTTGACAAATGGCTCATGTCAAGATCAACACTTTACTTGCGTTTGCTTCTCATTTGTATTCTCTTTCAGATTATAATCTTAAAACATTATAGTCCAAAAACTCCAACCTATAAAGCAAAAATTACCTCAAACGATTTGTTTCTTGTACAAGTGACAACGTACATCTAAGTGTAACTGTGTGTACTCAAAGACACCTTAACTCTTTCCCCTTCTTGAGTAAAACTACATTAGAAGAAACTTGTTTTAGTTCATGAACAACATTTTCAATCATGGCTATAACCCACATTGGTGGTCCAGGAACTTTCTAAGCACAGCCAGAGTAATAGTTATCTTTGAGATTTTTTGCTCATTTCATATTAACATCTTAATCCACGGCTAGATCTAAGATTTTAGCTTTGACCAACCTGAGAAACAAGTTCTTGTGTCGATACTAACACTTTAGAACATGGGAATCACCAATAAATGATACTATTTTTTAGCATTTTATTTATGACTGATCTCATATCATTATCGTATCGTACTTTAATTTACATTTGACACATTGATTCGTATCGTACTTTAATTTACGTTTGACACATTGATTAAAAAATGCAGAGAAATGATATAATATGAATTGCTTTTTATTTGCATTAAGTTGTGTGGTGGTTTTCTAATTGTTTTTATTTTCATTTTGAATTAATTTGTATTTCAGAATTCTAAATTTAGAGTTAATAACAACTTTATAATTTAAGATTTATTAGTTTCATGTATTAAAAAAAAGATATAAAATCAGAAAATACATTAATTATTGTATAACAAAGATGTAACATGCTATCACATAATTTATGAAAAAAAAAATAAATAATTTTTAAAATAAATAAAAATCATTATCATTTTATGTTTAAATCTTACTCCTTAAATACTATATTTGAAACCTTGCGTCAATTTTATTTGAGAATTTATTTTATCTTTTATGGTCGTAATTAGCGGTTGTGCTCATAACCCCTAGTTTTCTCTTTCTTCATTCCCCCAAATTTTGACTTTTTTGCGGTTTCTGGGTTTACTTAATTAGTTAGTGTGTATTAGATATATTCTACCTTATACGGAAGATATAAATAAACGCGAATCAAATTTTCCTTGGAGAACCTCTATATATATATATATATATATATATATATATATATAATATATATATATATATATATATATATATACGAACAGTGAAGGGTTTGTGAACTATTCAGTTTCAGTAGAAAAAGAACAGTCAAGAAAAAAACCAAAACAAAACATTCAAAAAATGGTTTCATTTAGCAAATGTTTCTTCCTTATGCTTATTTGCCTATCTCTTCTCATGTCTCCAAGTATGCCAAAAATCTTTAAATATTTTATGTTTAACTCTTTATCATATGTTTATTTTTACATATAATCTCAAAGGTTATATAAAGTTGGAATATATATTGTAATCACAAAAGTGTAAGATCATATGTTAAAACTAGTAACATGCATTCGTTTTAGATTTTTTTTTTTGGTTTTTTTTTAAGCAGTCTTATTTTTTTGTTTCATTTAATTTATTGAGCATACGTTTTTTTGTTACAAGATATTGGATACGGCATTTTATAAAACCAAACTAGATCCTTGTTTTTTAATATTCGATTAACTTTTTCTCCTTCTAAAATAAAACTTCAGAACCTGTGGAAGCAAGGACAGCGTTTTTTCCGTTAGGTCCGTGCTCAAAGATTCCAGACTGCAACAAACAATGCCTTGATTTTCATTACAACTTAGGTGGACAATGTTTAAGAGTAAATCCAGGTGACACGGAAGACACATGTGGTTGCTATATGTAATCTTATATATGGAAACTTTAAGAAATATGAAGTTGAAATATCATACCTTCGTTGATTTTGTTTTATTGTATCGGTTCCTAGGGGGTGCTTAATTCCCACTATGCATTGTAGCATTGAAATTTGATTTAATGAAATTAAGTGTTACCAAAAAAGTCAAAAATGATCGTTCAAATATTTTTGTAAAACAATTATGGAAATTATATGAAGATACTGGTCAACCAAGTTTTAAACCAAAAAAAACAAAATATTATTGATCCAAGTAATTTACTTTAAAAAAAGTTATTACTTCGATGAAAGTAACAAGTGCCCCGATTTGTAATGTTATCTCAAACGCAAACAAGTATTTGAATAATATATTCAATTGATAGAATTATACAATCGTGATGCAAACGCCTGAATCGTTACAAACTTCCAAGTGAATATTTTGTCCCCAACTATGGGAAGAGCTCAAAATTTTCATGGTTGAATCTCTATCGATTAGGTATGTTATTTATTCATATATACACAAAAATGGAATCATTAGCTTGACAAATGGCTCATGTCAAGATAAACACTTTACTGGCGTTTGCTTCTCATTTCTATTCTCTTTCAGATTATAATCTTAAAACATTATAGTCCAAAAACTCCAACCTATAAAGCAAAAATTATCTCAAACGATTTGTTTCTTGTACAAGTGACAACGTACATCTAAGTGTAACTGTGTGTACTCAAAGACACCTTAACTCTTTCCCCTTCTTGAGTAAAACTTCATTAGAAGAAACTTGTTTTAGTTCATGAACAACATTTTCAACCATGGCTATAACCCACATTGATGGTTCACGAACTTTCTAAGCACAGCCAGAGTAATAGTTATCTTTGAGATTTTTTGCTCATTTCATATTAACATCTTAATCCTCGGCTAGATCTAAGATTTTAGCTTTGACCAACCTGAGAAACAAGTTCTTGTGTCGATACTAATACTTTAGAACATGGGAATCACCAATAAATGATACTATTTTTTAGCATTTTATTTATGACTGATCTCATATCATTATCGTATCGTACTTTAATTTACATTTGACACATTGATTAAAAAATGCAGAGAAATGATATAATATGAATTCCTTTTTATTTGCATTAAGTTGTGTTGTGGTTTTCTAATTGTTTTTATTTTCATTTTGAATTAATTTGTATTTTAGAATTCTAAATTTAGAGTTAATAAAAACTTTATAATTTAAGATTTATTAGTTTCATGTATTAAAAAAAAGAAATAAAATCAGGAAATACATTAATTATTGTATAACAAAGATATAACATGCTATCACATAATTTATGAAAAAAAAAAATAATAATATTTAAAATAAATAAAAATCATTATCATTTTATGTTTAAACCTTACTCCATAAATACTATATTTGAAACCTTGTGTTCGATACCCGTTTACTACTTGACCTGTGCACTTGCAGAATCAGGGATAGGAAAAGGGGAAGCCGCGATCAGGGCCAAGCAAAAGGCTAAGTCTGGGGGAGTTGATATCACCATATTTTACATGATTTTACTATATAATATTTATGTTTTCAAACGGTTTTTGCAAGATTCTTTGCCTTTAGAGGTAGTTTTCTTGTATTTGTGGGATTTGAAGTCTTTGTAGGTGAAACCATCAAAAAGGATGCAAAAAGGAGTAAAAGAGCCCTAAACCAAGATCCATGCAAGTTTCCAAGTCAAGAAGATCATTTTATCTCCAAGTGTTAGTTCTCGCTAGCGCGCAGAACGAAGCTTCGGAAGTTTGGCCGCGCGCGGAGGAGTTCCCGACGTCCAAAAGTTACGATCTTGATATGGAAAGATAGATACTTGAGTCATGCATCACGTCGAAGTGGAATGAAGCCATTTGGATCAACTATGAGGCCTAACTTATTTTCTACCGAGACATGTCCGGTAAGCGAGCAAACGAAGCCCATGGAGGATTTGGAGTGTCTAATGGCCCGAGCAGCAGCGCCAAAGGCCTTGATCGAATAGAGAAGAGGCCTGGCTAATGTTTGGAGCTTTCCTTGGTACAATGTCGGCCCATACACGACGTGGAGAAGAAGGCTTTGCTCATGGGAAACTTTCCTTTTCCGGCATGAAGAAAACCCTACGCGACTTCGCCCATATATACATGTTTTTAGCCGCTGAAGAAGAGAGAGCGTGAAAAGTTTGTGAAAGAGTTCAGAGAAGAGAGAGAGAGAGAAGCCCTAGGAGATCGTCCAAGAAGAAGGAGGCGCCGCTCAACTCTTGTTCTTTCTTTTTCATTGTTTCCATTTCTATAAACTTGATCTTAAGAGTTTTCAAGGGAGAATCCGACTTTGTTCATCAATAGAGAAGCTTTCTTCATCCCTTTATCTCTTTTAATACTTGCATAATGTTTACAATCATGCTTTGCTTGCTTGTTTGCATCATGGCCGAGTAGATCTCTTAGTTAGGCCGAGGAGATCTATGGTGGCCGTGATGATTTGATTGTGTTGCAACTTATTGGGATTTATCTTATGGATCTTCACCTTTACTTGAGCTTAATGCATGATTACTCTACCGTACATCTAGTAATCTGATCTTAGAGAAATAGAACCACGACAGTGCTGAATCTAGATCTCAAAACTAGTATTTGGTGAGCAATAGATCATAGCCAACGAAAGCTGAGTTATGGTTTATTGTGAACAATTGAATCTTGATCACCTTTAATGCATGTTTGCAATTCTAATAGCCAACGAAAGCTGAGTATATTAGGTTGTTTTAAACATAGTGGTTGGAGCCACGACAGTGGAAAGACCATACACTAGTGATTCATGTTCAAGACGGCTCTACACACATCCCATGCAACTATCTTTTCATCATTGCTCCATATGATTGTCCTTTGCCTAACTCTTGTTTTAAATTGTTTACAACCTCACTCACATTTCTTTTGTTTTGTTTTCTCATTCTAGGTCCAAAACCATCTCATATTGCGAGCTAGCTACAAACCAATCTCACAAGGTGTTAAGCGAGAACACTTCCTCCTCGTGTTCGACCCCGACTACAACACGGCTGTGCACTTGCAGCTCATTAGTTGGGTTTATAAATTGTGAAAATTTGAGGCAATCTAAACCCGCCATCACGAGAGAGACAGTACGTGGCCAACTGAGGGAATGGCTTTAGAGCTGGACAGACGTCTCCACTTTTGAGGCCGTTTCCTACCTCGTGAGACACTACTCTTAACCCCGGATGAAAATCCTTCCGAGGAATAACCCATTCGGAATACCGTTGGTTCAAGAGGAGATGATGATGACGACCCTTCCTGGTCCAGAGGGGAAACAGACAGTCCTGTGAGTCGGACAGGACCATGAGGCTCGGAGGTGGTTGACATTCCAGGGCCAACATTATTTCTCTTGAAAGCTAAGCTCTGCTGCTCAAAGCCAAAGACAAGGCCTTTACCTTTCATTAAGTCATGAGAGATGATCGGCATTTTAGAGGAAGCCTCAACACATGCTTGTTCAATAGACTAGTTAACTCTCACTATGCGAGCTTGACGTTCTGTAGCGTCACTTTGTGCACGACATACTGCAACGCCATTTTCCTTTCTTCCCTCGGAAGCTCGGCAAAGAGGGGAGGAAAGCCTGGAGGAGGCGAGAGACTGGCTGTGATATGAGCTTTAGGTGAGAGATCTGGTCTCGGTCTAGGGCCAACCATATGCGCTCGGTTCCGTAAGAAAGGACAGGATGGTCTCTCATGGGTGATGCGAAAACAATGGAAACAATACTTCCTTAATTTCTCATATGCATACTCAATCGTTACCTTTCCACCAGTGGGAAGATTGACCACTTTTGCCACAATAGCTGGATCCGCAATGTTGAGTTTCACATGTGCTCGGATGAAGGTATCCTTTTGTGAGCCTTTTGGGTCATAAGCGATTTCGATGACTTCCCCCCACTCTCCTGGCTACCCAGTTCATGGTATCTAGCTTGTAGTAGTTCATCGGAATCCTGCTTATACGAACCCACAAATGGACGGAGGATAAAAAACCAATCGGAGGAGCAGGGATCCATCTGTCCATTAGCATGGTCCAGTTATTGTACGACCAAGGTCGATCCTTTAGGACTGTCTCTTGATCCTTTTCCCTCTGGAAAATGAACTGGAATTTATCACGGGATAAGGCAATTCCACGGACACGGTCGTAGACTCTCCACACGCGCGACATGTCTTCAATCATCTTATTCATAGGCTGACAGTCAGGATTCAAGAGGCGGCCGAGGAGACTCGTCGCGTTTTCGTCGAAGACTCGGAAACTAGGGCTATCAGGAAGATCGACGGGCTTATCATCATGGAGAGACATCGCACGGATAGCGTCGTGTAACTGTTCTGCCATTAAGCAGCTGATTCTAGCAGAGGTGGAGGAGATCCGACAAACAATCAACGGCAACTTCGGCAGTAGGTCCACCGTGAGAAGAGTAAATTTGCAATTAATACAGTTGAATTCGGAAAAGATTTTGCCATAAATCATGGCAACTAATAGGATTGGGCTGCAAGAGAAGGAAGAGAAAAGGAAGTAGGGATCAATTAAGGAAGCTGGTATCAAAGAGTAAGGCAACAAGAGGGAAGAAAAGGAAAGCGGCGAGATCGCAGAGAATAAAAGACGGTCAAAGAAATTAAAGGCAAATCACAAATGAGCGAAAATACGGATCAAGGAAAAAATCGGAAAAGGAAAGGCAAAGCCTCTAATTGAAACCAAAGGAGCTAAGCGGAAAAAAGGACCAAAAACCAAACGCAGCGTATTATGATATATCTTATTAATGACTTTTATTAGTTTAAAATTATAAAAAATTGTGACCAATGTCCCTTGCAACATTTTCTTAAAATATATAAAAAAATTATAAAACCACTCTTAATAAGAACCTCCACATCTTTCACATGGCGATCAGCCTCGCCATGACGATGCTCTGCGTCTTGAGCATTCCTTCCGATAAATATGGTCTCTCACACCTCGCTGCAATGGAACTTTCTATTTATGTTCCTAACAACATTTTCTTAATATATATGAAAAAATTAGAAAATTTATCAGAAGTTTTGAGACGGTTATGTTATCCTGAAGAAGACCGCTCTTAATCAGAACCTTCACATTTTTTACATGGTGATATATAGAGCCCCGCCATAACCGAGTCAACCTTGGCGCCTTGAGCTTTCCTTCCGATAAATCTGGTCCCTCGCACCTCGCCGCGACGGAACTTTCTATTAATATCCCTCAGACATTTTCTAATATATATGAAAAACTAGAATTTTTTTTTGTTTTTAAGGAACATAAGGAGTATAAAGCATATAACTACTTCGACTAACCAAATTAAAAATAGTCAAAAAATAAATCAATTTTTTTGTTTACTAAATCCAAATTAGTAGCATATACGTAGGTTTATGATATCTTTGATATATAAGAATCCAATAATTTGGTTTTGCCTAGGTGTCATTCTAGAACAAATAGTAGAAAGATTTTCTTTTTGTTTTACTGAAATATAGTTATACAATTATTTTGTAATACTCACAATACGCAGTATTCATAATAATTCAAATATTAGACCCCTCTTTTAACAAAAAAAATCCAAATATTAGACCAAAAAAAACTTTCAACAAAATCTTATTATACTAAAGTTGGATGCGCACGACGTGGTTGCGACATGTATGATTTTTATAATTTATAGGATCGTGACATGTGTCACTTTTAATATTACGTCCGTTAAGATTATAACATGTGTCTTGGAAAAAAAGGAAAGAAAAATAATTATTAAAATTTAATAAAAAGGAAATGTAAAAAAAAAGAAATTAAAATTTAGATTTGTCATATCCTAAAAGAAAAAGGTTTCCATTCATCGAAACTATATAATCTTTAACACATATTAAATTTAAAATAATGTAATAAATAAAATCCTATTAATACAGGAATATGTTGGGCCTGATTGGTAAGTGCTCTGAGTGCTCTGCAGAGCAATAACTATTTCTAGAGCACTATTGTTAAACCAATCATGCTTTGATTTCATTTTTTAAGTTCAAAGCCATAATTTTAAATATGGAAATATTTTGGCTCTGCCGAACAGATTTTCCAGAGCACAAATTTAAGGGCTCTGAGAATTCTCTCTCTTCTCATTCCTTAATCTCACTCTCTGTATTCTTTTTTTAATGTTTCTTTCCTATATCTATTTTAATGCTACATTTATGATATTTTATAAGAAATTATTTATAATAAAAATTTCTACAACACTATAATCTACAGTCACAGCAAAAAAGTCTACAGCCTAAATTCTACATCAAAAAATCCAAAGCTACAGAAACAACCAATGAGGCCCGTTATGTAAACTAAACTTCCTATAAGTGCATGGAATAGGTTATGTGAACCCTATAAAAAGATAGTTAATGTAGTCTCTTTTTTCTCATTCACAAACTCATCAAAAGCAAATTCAAGATATCAGTGAAGAATATTAATTCTAGATCAGTTGGATCAAAATCGAATTTATTGTCGCAACCAGTGCCTAGCGTCTAGAATGCCTAATTTGGGCCTAGGCGTTTTTGAAGTTTACAAAATGAACCTATATATAATACATATTTTAAATATATTAAGTTCAAATACACTCAAAAAATTAAAAGAATATTAAAAGTTTATTATAAAAAAATATAATATATTCATATTAGATAAAATATGCATAAAAATGAATTTTATTAAATTATAAATAAAAATTTAGATAAAATCACGGTATATGAGATATGTTAACACAAAAAATTGGAAAAATATAATAACAGAAAAACTAACAAAACCATTGTAAAAAACCTAACTAATATTGGAAAGGAAAATTTATAATAGAGGCAAAAAAAAAATTGAAAAAAAAACAATATAAATAGAAAACAAACAGAATAATTAATAATCAACTAACTAATATTAAAAAGAAAAAATTATAATAGACCGATTTTCCAATTTTAAATAATTGAATTTTCAATTTTTTAAATCAAATAATCAAAATGTTACGAATTAATTAACTGATCAGATTTAGATACATGTAAACCTTTCTAATATTAGATAAAAAGAAAATAAACAAAAAAAATCATTTTTTCTACTATGAATTCATAAACAAAATGTGAATTATAATTAAAATGTAATAGGATTACCAATTTTATTTTATTTAGATATTTATTATTGATTTCTAATACTATTATATTTACTTTTTAAAATGATCCAATTTTGTATAATATCTTTTGTGATTAATTTTATAAATTTTAAAATAAATCCGCGGGGCTTAATTTAATTTAGTAAAATAATAAAGTAAATATATTGATATTGCGTTTGTCCACGTAACATGCATGAGATTCTGATCATTGTGGGGGCACTGGTGGGTTGACGAAGAAACTGTAAGCAAATGGAAACAGTGAAACTCACGCGCTTTAAGAAAGCGCGTGTACCATCTCTCTCCCTCCCTGTAATTTCGCTCTTTCCCAACTGGCACACAGCAAGGAGCATCACTTCCCATTAATTTTCACACCTCTCTCTCTCTCTCCTCTCTCAAACCCTAACACACTCTCTCTCACTCATCGCTTTTACGATGCCGGTGCCTGATAACGACGGCGACCGGAGTTTGACGGAGCTCATCTCCTCTCTCCTCGAACGTATCCCAAAGCTTCTCAGCTTCAAGTGCAAATGGTCTTCGATTCGCGCCAAACTCGCCGATCTCAAGACTCAGCTCGCCGATTTCTCCGATTTCGCCGGCTCTTCTTCCAACCAGCTGTCTCTAGATCTTCTCGTTTCCGTTCAGGAGACGCTCGACGACGCGGTTTCCGTTGCGGCTAGGTGCGAGGGACCAGATTTATCGGAAGGAAAGCTCAAGACGCAGAGCGAGGTTGACTCGGTCATGGCGAGGCTGGATCGCCATGTGAAAGACGCTGAGGTTCTGATTAAGAGCGGTCTTCTTCAGGATAACGGAGCCGTCTCGAAACTTGCGATTTCGTCGAAGAAGGAGTCTGTTCGATTGGAAGCGAGGAATCTGGTGATTCGATTGCAGATCGGCGGAGCTAAATCGAAGAATTTCGCAATTGATTCGTTGATTGAGCTACTTCAGGAAGACGATAAGAACGTGGTGATCGCTGTAGCGCAAGGAGTTGTTCCGGTTCTGGTACGGCTTCTGGATTCGTGCTCTCTGGGTATGAAGGAGAAGACCGTAGCCGTGATTTCCAGAATCTCGACGGTGGAGAGTAGCAGACACGTGTTGATAGCTGAAGGATTGTCTCTCCTGAACCACCTCCTCCGTGTACTGGAATCTGGAAGTGGATTCGCTAAAGAGAAAGCTTGTATCGCTCTGCAGGCGCTAAGCCTCTCCAAGGAGAACGCGAGAGCCATCGGTTGCAGAGGAGGAATCTCGTCTCTCCTCGAAATCTGCCAAGCCGGAACTCCTGGCTCTCAGGCATTCGCCGCCGGAGTGTTGAGAAACCTAGCTTCGTTCGCGGAGACCAGAGAGAATTTCGTGGAGGAAAACGCCGTTTTCGTTCTGATTTCTCTCGCTTCTTCAGGTACGCCTCTAGCTCAAGAGAACGCTGTAGGATGTCTGGCTAATTTAACAAGTGGAGATGAGGATATGATGATACTGATTGTTAGAGAAGGAGGGATTAAGTGTTTAAAGAGTTTCTGGGACTCTGTCACCAATGTGAAGAGTCTCGAGGTAGGAGTTTTGCTTCTCAAGAATCTAGCTTCGTGCCCTATTGTGAGAGAAGTTGTCATCTCCGAAGGGTTTATCCCTCGTTTGTTTCCGGTGTTGAGCTGTGGGATTCTCAGCGTGAGAATCGCAGCCGCGGAAGCTGTTTCTTGGCTCGGTTTCAGCTCGAAAAGCCGGAAAGAGATTGGCGAGAGCGGATGCATCGGTGCGTTGATTGATATGTTAGATGGTAAAGCCATGGAAGAGAAAGAAGCAGCTTCGAAAGCTCTGTCGACGTTACTGGTTTGCACGAACAACAGGAAGATTTTCAAGAAGAGTGAGAAGGGTGTGGTGAGTCTTGTTCAGTTATTGGACCCGAAGATTAAGAAGTTCGATAAGAGTCACACAGTCTCTGCGTTGGAACTGCTTGTGGCTTCTAAGAAATGCAGGAAACAAGTCGTTGCTGCTGGTGCTTGCTTGCATTTGCAGAAGCTTGTGGTGATGGATGTTGAAGGAGCTAAGAAATTGGCAGAGAGTCTCTCTCGGAGTAAGATTTGGGGCGTCTTTGCTAGGCCGTAAGATGCTCTCTGTTTATCCTTTGTATGTAAGAAACTTTGGTTTTTTTTCTCTATGAGTTTGTTTGATGATTTGATTGTTCATAAGGCTTGTGCTGATTGAATTAGGGAGAGTTTTTAATTGTTGATTAGTCATGTAGAGACAAACAATAATAATATATTTTGTAGAGTTGTTTGTGAGTTAATCATATGAGAGTTTGATTTGATGCTTTCAACTTCTTTATTTCTTGTCCTCTTGAAACTTCAAGAACCTGATCCTTTCTCTGAAGTGTTTGATTGATTTATCTAAAATTGAGCTACAGTGGAATGACTCATCAGTGTCTGTAATCTGAAACTCTGTTTTGTTGCATATTTGAGTTGGGTTCTGGTGGTATGTCGTGTCTGAGCATAGGTCAAATAATGTTAGTTGGTCGGAGAGCACATGGTATTTGTTTTGTTTATACCTTTTTTTCACAAATATATTCACAAAATCTCAACTTGTTTTTGGTTTTGGTGGCCCCATATGATTGTTACAGCCGTTAAGTTCTTTGGCTCAATCCAATTATTCATTCACCAATCTGAAATCTTTACACTGTTCATTTTCTTTTTGTTCTCAAGTGATGTAAAAGAATTAGCAATTTCAGTTTTTCTTTTCTCTACAAAACGTTGCAGATCAATTACAACTGATCTTTCTTTAGATCAAAACCATAAAGCGAGAAAAAAATCAAATGTGTTTATTGAAACGATGGAGATGGATTTGCCTTGTGAATACCATAGAGCCATGTTTATTGTTTGATACTGTATAAGGACTTGAGTTGCTGACTGATCAACCTGCTGCTGTGAATAGCTGATTGAAGCTCTAAATTATCAGACCACCATTGTTCCAACCCGTGCGCCTCTTGAAACTTCTGTTTCCCTTTCGACATAACGAATAGCTTCGCCGCTAGAGGACTATTGTTCTCCTTGTTACTCACATCTCTCTTCTCAGTCACTCCATCCTGGTCAGTGTAGTGGCAACAGATATAGTCACTATCGTTCACATACAAATGAGGCACCCATTTCCTCAAATCCACAGAAGGTTTCTGATTATTCTGCCCGTAGAAACTCGGCACCCAACTCCTAAACCCTGACGAAGAAACATTAGCAGCAGCAGCAGTAGGAGGAGGAGCAATCTCTCCTTCGTTGCCATATGCCATCGACATGAGTCTTCTCCAAGCGAAACCGGCTTTTTCGCCAATGTTTCTCAAACTCATAGCGAGAGATATCGAAGGAGGATTGAACAAATGAGCATCCACAAACAGACCTTCTTTAGCCAATGCTTTACCAACTTGTAAAGCAAAGCCAGCTCCTAACGAATGCCCAACAACACAGACGTTACTGCTTCCATACCTCTTCGCTACTGACTGAAGCGCCTCAAGAGCCACGTTAAACCTCACAGAGCCTTTAAGACTCTCCCACGCTAGAAACCGGAGATCGTCTTCAATGTCACGTCTCATCGTTAGACTCTTTAGTATCGTTCCTCGCAGCGCAAGCACTGCTTTTGGTGCACCGCTCGGTCTGATGACGACTAAATCAGCCATCGCAGCTGCTCTGTCCCATTCAAGAATGGCGCCGAAGATTGATCCGTCTCTCTCGTCGATCAGGGTCTGCGATAGCTTGTACTTGAAAGGAATCCACCATTTGGGAGCGAGAGCGTTTTGCTCGTTTCTGCTTTCTTGTCTGTCGAGTTCGAGCAAGTAAGCTGCTTGGATAAAGCATGCCATTACTGTTCTCTTGTAGTTTGGATCCTTCCTGCACATATACACAGAAGAATCAACCCAAAAGGTTAATACTTTATACAAAGTTTTCATTTTTAGAAACTTCTCACATTACATGATTAGCTTCAGACACCAAAACAACGGGAAGATTAAGCATAATCCTCTACAACGTTATGATTTTTAAGATGCTTCCTACATATACATACAGAAAAATCAACCCAAAGGTTAATACTTTAAACAAAGTTATCGTTTTTTTTAGAAACTTCTGACATTAGCTTCAGACACCAAATAAGGGTAATTAAGCATAATCTTCAACAAAGTTTAGATTTTTAAGATTCTCGAGCGTATAACCTAGATTCCTCAAAATCTCTAATTTACAAAACTGAGATAAAGCTGAACAGAGATTCAACAAAATTTGAGTTGAATCAAGAAAGGTTTCTCACATTACATGATTAGCATCAGACACCAAATAAGGGAAAATTTAACCATAATCCTCCAGAAAGTTTAGATTTTAAAGATTCTCGTGCGTGAAAAAAAGAATCAAAATCTCTAATTTACAACACAGAGATAAAGCTGACTAAAGACTCAACCAAATTTGAGTTTGTGAGCACTTCAGATCCGAAGAATTAGAAACATTGTAAAACATTTGAGTTTGCTGTAATGTCTCAGAAAAATTGTCTAAACCAAATCACGAAGAAACCCAAAAAACAGAAACTTGAAATTTCAATGATCTTACCAACTGGAATTGATGAGATCTCTCCAGTTAGGAGAAGCTACGTTACGAGGTCCGGAGACGTGAAACGCGTAAGGATGATGAGCGTCCTCTTCCTTCACCACCACCGTCTTCGGAGTCGTTGGCGAAGCAGCCACCATTAACGCCACGGATTCAGATTCCGTCGTATCTTCTTCCATCACCGGCCCACAATTCGACATCAACATTATTATAAACAAAAATAAAAAAACTCTCTGTTTCTTCTTCTTCTACGCAACTACTACAGAATCAGAGCAGTCTCTCTAGTCTACTTAGTGGGGAAATTCGGATTCGATCGCTTGGGAATCGGATTCAAGCGTTGGAAGTATGAAGAAAAAGAAAAAAAAAAGTTTTTTTAGATTGTGATTAATTTTGGTAATTAAATGATTTTGAAACGCCTGAGATTTGCGGATCTATCAAACGGTCATCTCGTTTTTGTTGTCGGCTTCTCTGTTAATACCATATTTACCCTTTAAGATTTCGCCTTGTGAGGTACTTTGTTTCAGGGGTACAACAGGTAGACGGATAAATTAGTCCACGGTGAAGAGTGGAAGAAGCCAGAAATGCAAGCGCGTATGTGTGAGTGTTAAGTAATAATGTAAAAATTGTAAGCATAATCCTCGCGTATGTGTGAGTGTTAAGCACAATATTGAAATCACTTTTCAACACCTCCATTGTAAGACTATATACAATGGTTTCAATATTCAACACCTTAACGCTCCGACCGCCTATTCCCGTGAGTCATCCACATCCTCTCCCGGCCTGTGTCCCCACCCCTATCCGACGGTCAGTTAGTTATTTTTTAATAGATTCTAGAGACTTGTTTACTATCCCTACATTCAACACCCGATCTTTCCCCGTGTTTTGACCTCACTCACACAATTTCGGAAACCACTTCTCGGAAGGTCATCCATCCTTCCACTACTCTAGCCCAAGCACGCTTAACTCTGGAGTTACTTATGGAAATTTGACCGAAAAGGTAGGTGAACTTTGTTGACATAGGTAGCCAAATCAATTCTCTTAAGCCTCTCATCATTTATCACAAACCGGGATGTATAGTTCACTCCCACTCACAGCGCATAATGTCCTCGTTGCGCAGCTGGATCGTCATCCTTGATGGTGTGAGTCAAGACCACTCCACTTGGCACCACACTCTCGTCTCGGTTTGGTTCTGATACCAAATTATAACGCATCTACCACCCATCCCGGTGAGTCATCCACGTCCTTTCTTGGCCCATAGGCATCACCTCTGTCCGACGGCAGGTGCGCTATTTTTGGGAGGCTCTAATGACTTGTTTACTATCCCTGCAATCAACACCCGACTTTTCCCCGTGTTTTGGCCTCACTCACACGGTTTTGGAAATCACTTTTCGGAAGGTCACCCATTCTTCCACTATTCCAGCCCAAACACGCTTAATTCTCTTAAGCCTTTTCTCATTTATCACAAACCGAAATAATACACCATCTTTTCCATTCCACATCATCTTCTCTTTCTTCCACATATTCATTTAACACTTATTAACTATCTTCACTTACAATAATTATGTTTAATGAAAAAATCAACACATTACTCATTAGTAATTATGTTTATTTCTTATTTTTATTATTTTGTAAAGGTTATATAATTACATACTAATAATTATTATAAATTTAAATTTAATTAATATAATTAAAAGTAATTATTCTTATTTTATTTTATTTTTTAATTTCATTTTTTTTTTACTTAAATTTATCTTCTTGCAAGTTTTAAACACAAAATATGAACATTACTAAAACGGATTAAAACTAAAACACAATACAAGACATTTTAATAAACACACAACATAACAAACAAAACACATAACTTAATTAATGCAACAAACTCAACTCACAGAAAATAAAACTCATAAATCAAACATAGATTCGACAATCTTTTTAGCCACAGAGCATTCCGAATTTAGTCCATATGTGTTTAACTAAATCTTCTTGTATCTCGTGATGTATAGTTAGATCGGGCAATTCGGATCTAGCTCATACATGATTTTCAAATGCAGGTAGCACTTCAGTAGAGAATGGTTAAGCTATGCTAGACCCACTTGCTTTGGACTGATCATAATCAGTCCATTGTGGAGCATACATATCTCGTGATTATATTATGCAATATGATATAAGACCTCATGATAATAGTTAAATCAACTATATCCCACAAGCGAGCTGGTTCGCGAAATATTTTAGCGATGATAACTTATGTATTAGCATATATGTTAGCAAATGCGTGTTAACATTTAGATAATTACTTGATAGCATTATTTATTAACCAAACTTGTGTTATCATATGTGCTAGCATATAAACCATTACGTGCTAACATTTAGATCATTATTTGCTAACATTTAACTCATTACGTACTAACATTCAAACCATTATCTGCTAACACGCAAACCATTACTTGCTAACAAATTTGTTAACAGTAAAATGCAAACAATGTGTCAAAATCTTTGTTAGCAAGGTAGCAAAATCTTTGTTAACAAGATAATGTAATGTTTGTTAGCAAAGGATATGATATATGTTAGCGAGGTGACGTGTTTTTTGTTAGCGAAGTAACAAAAAAAATTGTTAGCGAAATGATATAGTATTTACGAGAGAAATTAAGTACTAATTGTTTTCAAGATTGTCCTAATATTGGTAGTAAGTGTCGGATTACTTGTTAGCGAATTAACGTAGCATTTTTTAGCAAGATATTGAGTTAGTTGTTATCAAGTTAACGTAATATTTGTTAACAAGATTTGATGTGAGGTAACTGGGTAAAGTTTTGCCTGTGATGTGGACCTCACTTCCCCTATTTTCAGCTATACTCAATAAAACAAAGAAACTTATTTTATAGGGGTAAAACTGATTTTTTTATGTGAACAAACATCACAAAAAGTTGTTAGGTCATTTAATTCTTCTATTATCTTAGACTATTTAGTGCAATTTCTCAATTTTTTAATTTTGTTAATTGTTACATATTTTATAGTTTTCTGTCAAAATAAAATAAAATAATATCACTTGCATTATAAACCTTCAAAACCAGTGTTTTTAAACCCGGACCGACCCGGTGGTCGGATCGGGTTCAACCATGAACCGGAAGCATTTCCGGATTGGGTTACTACTAAAACTCATAGATAGTTAGACAGGTTAAAAACTCGGGTTCCACCAACAAAAAAAATAAAAAATCGGTGACCCATTGAACCGTATTGAATCCGGTTTTCTAATTAAACAATAAATTTTCTATTTTATTTGATAATTTTAACTTTTTCAGAATGTTTTGTTAAAGAATATTTTCAAATATTATGAATTTTAAATAATTTATTTGATATTTAAAATTTATATATATTTCTATATTGTTTAAATATCATACATATATTCATATATAAAATTAATAAATATATATATATATTATTTTTAAAAATCATCGAACCAGGTCGAACCCGGTCGAACCCGATCGAACCATATTAATCCATGACCCAAAATATTTCCGGTTCGGTCACCGCTCCGGTTTTAAAAATGCTGTTCAAAACAGGTTGCGATAATGGAAATAAACATTGTACGATAAACGATTGCTTACGTTAAAATAATTTTATCTACTTTTGTTCATTTTGTTGTACTCGTTAACTTTGTTTATACAGTTTTATTTCCATTACCAAAACTTTGTTTATATTTAGACTAGTTACATATATATGTCTTAATATATAAATCGCGTAAATTAAAGATGTACAAAAAGATATTGGATTCATTGGCTTCAAACACCTATGTAACTGATCCAATTAAGACATGGCACTGCTATATGAACCACATAAACTAATTTACAAGTGATGTTCGCTTAACTTAAGTTACACATGAAAATGTGATTCGCTCGATTATTGGTCAATTTTAGTCCAATCAATGATAATGAAGATGGTATCAAATATAAATGATGATACTGGTACGATGAATCATGATAATAATGATGATGATGGTATTCTATGTTGGTTTGTAAACTGTTTTCAGATGCAGAACAAAAGCAGAGAAAGACTGAATTGTTCGACTTGAATTGATAAAAGAGATTCGGCCCTTTTTCAAGAGACCTTTACAACTGAACAGAGAAACAAACTCCTACAAATTCTGAAACAGAAACGACTAAATCTAATTCCTTTAAGACCGGAGATTTATTCAACGCAAGACTAAGTTTATTCAAACTTTAAACGGCTCCATCACGACTCTTATTTCTTCATTCTACTCTCTATCAAAATATTAGTATAAGTTACAGTTATAAAAAGTAAACTATATATTTGGAGAGAGATTTGAGTTATCAAGTTTGAATAGATTTATTAACTAAACAAGATGGATTCAAGTACATTATCCGTTTGGACGGACTTGGCTTAGGTTACTAAATTTGACATCTTTATGTATTTTGACAATCAAATAAAAAATTATGGATCATGACAGTTTGATCCTTAGAATGGCTTCTTCCTCATCGTCATCGTCTCTGCCTCTGCCTCCGTTGAAGAAATACGGAGGACATAGAAACTGGGCCGATCTTCCGCCAGAATTAACGTCGTCAATCTTGCTACGGCTTGGCGCGATTGAGATACTAGAAAACGCTCAGAAAGTATGCAAATCGTGGCATCACGTCTGCAAAGACCCTTCAATGTGGCGGAAGATAAAAATGGACCACGAAAAATGGTACGAGTCCCTCAATACCATGCTTCGTCACGAGACCATTTGTCGTCACGCTGTTGATCGTAGCCTTGGCGGTTTGGTTGAGATCGACATTTGGTACATCGGTACTAATTCTCTCCTCAGTTACATTGTCGACAGGTACCTTCTCTTTCTCTCCATGCGACTAAAAAAAAACAAGCCAATTTGTTTTGTTTTATGGATAATTTTTTTTTTTAGGGTTTGGATATGAACAATCTTTGTAGTACTTTGATGATGTTCCTTTAGTTGGTTTATATGAAAATCTCAATGAAGTTTGAATCTTTTGTTTCTTGTACATTGTCACAATGTACAACGGAAAGCTTATTGTTTTTAGGTTTGTGATTGCTATTTTGTTAGGTTTGGTCCAAATCAAATCATTAAGAACACAGAAAAAACAAGCTAACTTTTTTAGCTAAATGTTTAGCTTTTAGTTCTTAATGTGCAATAAAAAAAATAAAAAAATAAAAAAAAATAAAAAAATCTTTGGCATCTTCATCGTTTACAGTCTCTATCTTAGGAACTATATTATGATTTTTTACTTTAATATACAATTATTTGCCAGCACAAGTAATCTAAGGAGGCTTAGACTTCCATGGTGCAATGTAATAACAGACGAGGGATATCTCAAAGCAGTTGTGAAACTCCCATTGCTTGAAGAACTCGACATTTCATATTGCTCAATTTTAGAAGAGACTCTGGAAGTTTTAGGCAAGTCTTGTCCGAAACTGAAGACGTTGCATGCATTAAATCTATGTTCCCCTGTGATCGACTATGATGCTGAGGCGATCGAAATCAATGGTACTGATGATGAGTTTGCTATAGCAATTGCAGAAAGCATGCCCGAACTACGTCACCTCCAGCTTGCTGGGAACGGACTAATCAGCAACAAGGGCTTGGAGGCCATTCTTGACGCTTGTCCTCACCTAGAACATCTCGATTTACGGGAGTGTTATAACATCAACCTTGTTGGGGATCTCCAGAAGCGATGCTCTGAGAAGATTAGAGTCTTGAGACGCCCCAATGACACAACCGCTGATTACCCACTTTATGTACGATTTTTGGATGGGTATTAAACATTTATGACTTTTGAAGATTTATTAGATTTGGGAAGACGTTCTTTTAATCGTGTTTTTTTCTAAATCAGTCCAAAGATTTCATGTTCTCGCTATTGATGACCTTTTTAAAAATCTCTTCTGTACAGTTTTTTTTTCGGTGATTTTTTTTGTGTTAATTTCGCATTGTTTGTAACTTTGTATAGTGAAGACAAATTAGTTCTAGGGTGTGGAGAGAGGAGCCACAATGCAAGCGCGTGTGAGTGTTATTGGCTTATTGTGTTTAAGAATATGTAAGGATGTCACCTTTCACTATTTCTTAGGAAAACGCTTTTCTTCTCTAATTTTCTACTTGTTAACTTTGTGTATATACGATTTTTTTCTAGTCAAAACTTTTGTTTATATAGTTCAATTTTTTTAGAAGACATTTCACTCACATAGTTTTTAGGGAAATTGTAATGAATGACAATAAAAAAACTTAAAATTAAGTGAATAGCCATAATAAGTTATTGGCTATAATATATTACGTATAACCTGTATTAATACCAAAAATACCCTCCTTTATTTGACTCTTTCTCCTTCCCACCTTCCTTGATTGTGGTTTATTCGGCTTTTCTCCACAGCGATTAGTTTCTTCTCATTCAAGTATGCGCAGTTCGGTGTTTATGATCATCCGATGTTTGGTACTCTGTTCTATTTATTGTTCTGCATATAGTACATTAGTTCTTGTTTTGCTTTATAAGGATAATTTTGTCCTAAAATGTAGATTTTGGCTATTGACTCTATTTCATTTTATTATGGTTATAAGTTTAATTTTGTGCTCTAATAAAACAATTTATCAAATTCACCCTAGTTTTTGAGTATAATATATGCGAAGGTTTTTTGCTTTGATGTCAAATAACTGTATGTAAAGTTTTCCATTGACTGCCACGAATTCATATACTCCCTCTGTTTCAGAAAATTTGATATTTAGAAAAAAAACACAGATATTAAAAAACACATTTGAATACATTTATTATTTCTCTTTTACCTGTTAATAAACACTTGATGTTTTAAAAGACCCATGGCTTAACTGGTAACTGAAGAATTGTTGAATGTTGAAGAATTTAGCTGAATTTTTTATGTGAAACACCAATTGGGTGTTGAGGAATGATGAAGAATGTTGAGCAATTGAGCTGGAGTAAGAGAACACTAAAAGACAAAAAAATGCATAATGATTTTCAGTTATTTTTTATTTTCTTTTGATATTTCAAAAAAATCCATTAATTAGTTTACATGGTGTAAATTTTATTTATTCACTTTCATGTATTTAATTTCTATGATAAAAATAAAATATCACTAAAATTCCAACAAATTTGGTTATAGTACAAGAAATTTAAGGAAAAAATGACTAATCTTCAGAAACGTTGATGATATGTATTAACTAAATTTTTAATAATTGAGGAATTTTGATGCATTTTATTTGATTATTTATTAAAATTTATTTGTTATGGTTTATATATGGATTAAATACTGCAATATATGCATTTATGTAATTTTTTTAATTAAAAGTATAATTAATACCATAGTTAATCTATCATGTAGTTTTATGTTTTGTAAAATTATTTAAGCTAATATATGCAAAGAAATTATCAATTAATAATGAGTACATATTAGATTATAATATTAGAAAATAGTCAAATACCAAGAACAAGAGAAAACAATGGATGATACTATATACATAAAGAGGGGAGGGATTTAAATGTATATTTTTCATTAATGAATTACTAATATCAAACCTATTATATCTTTTAAACCTATTATATTTTTCATTTTTCATCATGTCTACTTCGAGCTGATCGTCATGGATGGCCTTAATTCCTCGATCAAATAAATTAAAGCTGGAAAGCTAGGCTCTACCTACTCCGAGCAAATGATCACATGGTAGACTATGTCTTCTCAGATCATATGTATGGAGTGGTAGGGAAAACCTCCTCCAGAGTTGATGGTGAAAATCTCCTCCATATAGCGGAGTTGATGACTATGTCTCCTCCCATATCTAAATTTCTGCCTTTATATTATGCTCTTAAATTCAGTCATTTATATTCTTATTATTTCAATTTATGCTTTTATATACCGTTATTATGCTGAAATTTTCAAAAGTTTAAGTTTTTGTTATTCAGTTATAATGTCGAATTTGACAAAGCTCGAGATCGCCGCCCTGGACATTAGTGGTAACAACTATTTGTCTTGGACGGTAGGTGCAAAGTTGCACCTAAAAGGAAATGGTCTCTTGAGCACCATCGATAAGTCTGGAAAGACATCCGATGAGCAAAAGGCGAAAGCCATGATCTTTTTACGCCACCATATACATGATGGTTTAAAAGATGAATACATCACAAAAGAAGATCCTGCGGATCTATGGAACTCGCTTAAAGTTCGGTTTGATCATCAAAAATATATGATCTTACCGCAAGCGAGGTACGAGTGGTTGAACCTCCGGTTCCAGGATTATAAAAGTGTTGCTGAGTACAATTCCATTATGTACAACATCACTTCCAGGATGAAAATGTGTGGAGAGAATATCAGTGAATTTGATATGTTGGAAAAAACTCTCTCAACTTTTCATCCTGAAAATATAATCCTGAGCAACAATACCGGGCAAGAGAATTCACCTCGTACTCGGAGTTGATGCAAATCCTCCTTGTGGCTGAAAAAAATAATCAGCTTGTGATGTTAAACCATCAGCTCCGTCCAACTGGATCTGCGCCATTCCCTGAAGCGAATGTTGCGTCATCCAGTCATACTAAAAAGCCTGAACGTGAACGCAAGCGGCGTGTCGCGGTCGAGGTCGTGGACGTGGAAGAGAAAGTGATGATGGTCGAGCGGTAAAAAGAAAGGGTGAACGCACCTGTTACAGATGCGGCATGAATAATCACTTTGAGCGTACATGTCGTACGCCCAAACATTTAGCCGATCTGTACAGGGCATCACAACAAGCCAAAAATAAGGATGCAGAGACCAACTTCATCTCTGATGAACCTGGTCCATCCTTTGATGGCTTAAGTGATGATTTTCATCTGGATGTCGCCGACTATCTCGTTGATCTGAAGAATCAACTGAGCCAAAGAAAGTCAAATCGATGATAGTGTCTTCGTAAAGAAGACAAGAATAACAATCTCTTAATCGTTTTTCTTGTATTGTATAATATATCTTTTGCTAAAAAGTTTTTGATGTAATATATTAGCAATGTTTAATATAAAATGTTTCATATTTTATGAATTTGTGGCCCAGATGGTGCCACCTTTTGAGATTAAGGATGGAGATACTTGTCTAGCAGACAGTGCTACGACACATACAATACTCAAAGATAAGAAGTATTTCTCCTATCTCAAAATGAAAGACTCCGCTGAAAGCGTGAGTACTATATGCGGTAGTGCAAAGATAATACTTGGCTCTGGGAGTGCAAGTTTTTCATTGCCAAGGGGAACGAAATTTGAAGTGCGAGATGCACTATATTCCCCGGAGTCTCACCGGAACTTATTAAGTTTCCGAGATATCCGCAAAAATGGATATCATATTGAGACTATAAACAAAAATGGCATTGAATATCTTTGCATTACAACGGAGAGGAAACAAACATTGGAAGAATTACCAATGATGTCCTCTGGTTTATATTGCACAAAAATCAACATGACTGAATCTTATGTTGCAGTAAACCAGATGTTTACTAGCACTTTTAGGGTGTGGCATGAAAGACTTGGCCACCCAGGTTCAGTCATGATGAGAAGAATTGTGCAAAATACGAGTGGCCACCCATTGAAAAATGAAAAGATTTTTCAATCGGGGGAGTTTTCATGTAAAGCATGTTCTCAAGGAAAACTCATAATTAGGCCCTCGCCAGCCAAAGTTGGGAATGAATCCCCTGTATTCTTAGAGAGAATACATGGTGATATATGTGGGCCTATTAACCCACCGTGCGGGCCATTTCGATACTTTATGGTATTGATTGACGCATCTAGTAGATGGTCAAATGTGTGTCTTTTGACCACAAGAAATATGGCTTTCGCAAGATTCATTGCCCAAATAATCAGGTTGAGAGCGCATTTCCCTGATTATGCCATAAAGAAAGTCAGGCTTGATAATGCTGGTGAATTCACTTCAGCAGCCTTTAATGACTTTTGTATGTCTGTGGGAATCGATGTTGAACATCCGGTTCCGCACGTTCATACGCAAAATGGCATGGCTGAGTCATTAATAAAGCGGTTGCAGTTAATTGCAAGACCGTTAATCTTGAGAACAAAACTCCCAATCACTGTATGGGGACATGCAATATTGCATGCGGGAGCCTTGGTTCAAGTGAGACCAAGTGCTTATAATAAATTTTCGCCCATACAGTTGGCATTTGGAAATATGCCAAATATATCCCATCTCCGGGTATTCGGGTGTGCGGTCTATATCCCAATAGCGCCACCACAGAGATCAAAAATGGGACCACAGAGGAGATTGGGAATATATGTCGGGTATTCGTCCCCTAGTATAATAAGGTATCTTGAACCGGCAACTGGTGATATGTTTACGGCACGATTTGCCGATAGCCACTTTGATGAAAATGAATTCCCTGCGTTAGGGGGAGGGTCGAGAGAATCACCAAATGATATCACCAAATGGTGTACACACTCTTTGGCTTATCTTGATCCTCCTTCTAATCAACGCGAGGTGGAAGTTCAGAAAATTATACATATGCAAAGATTGGCTAACCAGTTGCCCGATGAGTTCACAGATACGAAAAGGGTGACGAAGTCCTATATCCCCGCTGCTAATGCTCCATCAAAAATAGAAGTTCCTCATGAACATTTTGATGTGAATAGAGCAAGTGAACCGGTTCAATTAAAGCGCGGGAGGCCTATAGGATCAAAGGATAAATATCCCCGAAAGAAAAAGAATTGTGGAGTAAAGGTTCCTGATGAACCGAAATGTCTTGAAGACATTTCCGAACAGGTTCTTGTAGAACCTGATAAAGAGGTTCGTCAAGATGACGAACCAGAGACAGAAAAATTTGAGATTTCCATCTCCTTCGCCCAAAGTGGAAAAATATGATAGCTCTTTTTCTGTAGCTAAAGAGATCGATCATGAAAATGATGATCCAGATCCAACTTCCGTGTCAGAGTGCCAAAAGAGGCCGGACTGGGAGAAATGGCAAATGGCCATGAAGAATGAAATATTCTCTCTCAATAAACGGACTGTATTCGGACCGATAATCATTACACCAAAAGATGTAATGCCGGTTGGATACAAATGGGTTTTTGTAAGAAAAAGAAATGAGAAAAACGAAGTCACAAGATATAAAGCTCGTCTTGTGGCTCAAGGTTTTTCTCAAAGACCGGGGATAGATTATGAAGAAACATATTCCCCGGTAATGGATGCAATCACCTTCAGGTACTTGATGAGCCTAACGGCCTCTAATAATTTAGAGATGTACCTGATGGATGTTGTGACTGCATACCTATATGGCTCACTTGATAGTGAGATATATATGAAAATTCCTGAGGGATTTAAGATCCCGAAGGGTCAAAGATGCTTGAAGCATCTAAAGAGCTTTGTTCGGTCAAACTCCAGCGATCACTTTATGGATTAAAACAATCCGGCCGCATGTGGTACAATCGCTTAAGTGAATACTTGTTGAGTAAAGGTTACGTCAACAATGCGATTTGTCCATGCGTGTTCATAAAGAAATCCTCAACGGGTTTTGTGATCATTGCTGTGTATGTTGATGACCTGAACATGATTGGAACTCAAAAGGAGATTGATGATGCAAGAACTCATATGAAAGATGAGTTCGAAATGAAAGATCTTGGAAAGACAAAGTTTTGTCTTGGGCTCCAGATAGAGCATTTCCAAGATGGAATATTTTTGCATCAATCAAATTACACCAAAAGGGTGTTAAAGCGCTTTTATATGGATAAAGCGACTCCTTTGAGTAGTCCAATGGTCAATAGATCGCTTGATGTTAACAAGGATCCATTTCGACCTATTGAAGATTCTGAAGAAATGTTAGGTCCTGAAGTACCTTACATGAGCGCCATCGGGGCACTTATGTATCTTGCAAATTGCACAAGACCAGATATAGCTTTTGCTACTAATCTGCTTGCAAGATACAGCTCATCGCCTACCAGAAGACATTGGAACGGAATAAAACATATATTCCGTTATCTTCAAGGTACGATTGAGTTTGGATTATATTATTCAAGAAACCCCGAGGTTGGTTTAGTTGGTTTTGCAGATGCTGGCTACTTGTCTGATCCGCATAAAGCTCGATCGCAAACCGGTTATGTTTCACATACGGTGGAACCGCGATCTCCTGGCGTTCCCAAAAACAAACATTGGTTGCAACGTCTTCAAATTATGCGGAGATCATTGCTCTCATGAAGCATGCAGAGAGTGTGTATGGTTGAGATCTTTGATCCAACATATACAAGAAGCCAGCGGAGTATCTACAAAGAAAGAGCCAACAACCATCTACGAAGACAATTCTGCATGTGTCACTCAACTCAAAGAAGGCTATATCAAGAGCGACAGGACAAAACACATCCCTCCAAGATTTTTCTCCTACACTCAAGAACTCGAGAGAATCAAGAAGTGGATATTCAGTATGTTCGCTCAAGTGACAATGCAGCTGATCTCTTCACAAAGCGCTTCCTACTACAGTGTTCAAGAAACATGTTCAGAGTATTGGAATGCGTCGTCTACAAGATTTGTGAAGAGAAGACTATATATATTTCAGGGGGAGGTTTCACGGTACTCTTTTTCCTTCTCATGGTTTTTATCCCATTGGGTTTTTCATGATAAGTTTTAATGAGGTCGTACGCAACTTCTTGGTAATAAATAACTAAGGGGAGTGTTAAAGAGATAATTATTAACCCCTCTCTCCTATGACTCATCCGTCATGAGTCATCACTTTTACTTTATTATATTAGATAAATATTTTGGGCCCACCGACTTTCTTTCCACTATAAATAAGGATATTTTCCATTTGTAATGGACACACCCAAAAACCAATGAATTAAAGAGAAACTCTTTTCCCTCTCTCATCCCTTCCACTTTCTCTCAGGGTCACATATTTTATTATATATATTTAGTCTCTCACCTTTAAATCTATTATTTTATAACATACTAGATTAGGCCCCGCGTATACGCGGTTTATTTTAATATAATTGAAATAAATCATAGGAAAATACTAAACAAAAATCTGGTCACTTTTAAAAATAAGTAGAATAATATTCAAAAGATTATTTTGATTATTATAATTATAATATTTAATAATAATTGATTATTCTAATTTAAAAGATTTCGATTGATGAAATCTTTTTCATAATATTGTTTTACCTACCAAAAAATAGAAAATTAATCTATTTAGATATATCTTATTATGTTATAATTATTTTGTTAATTTTCTATTTATCATAATTTTTTGTTCAATTTTGTTTTGCCTCAGACCATTATAAATTTTCTTATTCATAATTAGTTAGTTGTTTTAAAATTATTTTGTTAGTTTTTTTATTTATCTTATTACATTTTTCTAATTTTCTTTTGTTAACACATGTTATCACATGATCATATATTAGAAAAAATTTGCGACAAAATTTTCAATTTCTACCCAACTTATCTAAAGTTAAATATTTTCATTGATATCTTGAACTTTAAAGTACATGATTTTTATTTTGTAATAAAAGAGAAAGTTTAAACAAAAGATAGAATCACAGATATAAATCATGAAAGCTATAACTTATTATATATTTTTTTTGTTTCCTTTTCTTAATGGGAATATGTTTTTTCTCCTTTTCTTAACAGATGTAACATTTTTTCTTTTATTATTTGTTTCATGTTTTTCTGAATATCGATTATTTTTCCTTTTCGTATTGGAGTATGTTTTTTTCCTTTTCTTGATGGATATAACATTTTTTTTTAAAAAAATTGCTATTTGTTTCCTATTTTTCTCTTGAATTGTGTTTTCCTATTTCAAAAAATGTAAAAATTTAATGTTTATCTATTTATAATTATATATATATATTTAATGTTATATGTTAAAATTTCTTTTTTTATTAATTTTCGTTTTTCTAATATTTAAGTAAAATAAATAAAAATTCTTTTTTTTCAAAATATGTGTCACGATCTTAACGGTTTTAACATTAAAAGTGACACATGTCAAGTTCATATAATTTATAAAAATTATACGTGTCGCAACCATCGCGCATCCAACTTTATATAATAAGAAGATAGTAAAATTCAGCAATGTTATTGAGTCGGGACATTAATCGTGTGAGCCTAGGCCCAATATTATATTATATTATTGGGCGTAATTTTAATCTTTGGCACCAATTGTACTCTTGAGTATATAAATTACTTAAAATTTGAGAAGGACCCGAAAAATTCCGAAACTAAACGATGGCTCCCTCCTTTTCGCCGGCGTCGAATCAGTATGTGCCTCCGGTGACGAAAGACAAAGAGTCCAGCGACTGGGCGGAACTTCCGCCGGAATTAGTATTTTTGATTCTGTTCCGTATAGGCACTGTTGATATACTGAAAAACGCTCAGAAAGTATGCAGATCGTGGCGACGCGTATCTAAAGACCCATCGATGTGGCGGAAAATCGAGATCAGAAGCCGCGGGATCACCGATTACGAGTGCGATTGCTTTTGCCGTCAGGCCGTTGATCGTAGCGAGGGCGGCTTGGTCGAACTCGACATTAGGGACTTGGTCGGTGACGATTCTCTCCTCGCCTACATCGCCGACAGGTTCTCTCTCTACGCTTTCCCAATTTTTTCAACTGAAGATTGATTTCAAATTGTTGTGAGATTAGGAATTGCTGATTCTAGGGTTAGAGCAGATATGTTGCTGATTTTAGGGATTGAAGTGGAAATTCCTGAATTTGTGAGGATTAGGGCAAAATTTAACTTGTCTCGCATGAATTATTGTATGGTAATCTCATTTTGTTGAATCAGTGGTGTTTTGTAAAGCAGCTTTCTCTGTGTTTTGGGATTTAAATGGACAACGAGTCTTATTGTGATTTGTTAGTATTTTTTAAGCTTATGGAACTCTATCATAGACAAATCTACATGCATCTTTGATTCATCGACTTAGTTTTGTAAACACATTGTTTGCGTTTTACATGTTTTTCCTAGGCCTAGGACTTCCGTTTCTGGTTTAGAGATATAGAAACATATTGGGTTTTTTTGTTTTTCGGTTCAGGTTCGGTTCGGGTGGTTGTACATGAAACATGGCCGGTTTTGGTTAGGCTAAATTCGGGGTTTCCGGATTTTTGGGTTTTTTCAAGTTTTTTTCGGTTTCGGGTTTTCGGTTTAGAGATTAAGAAACTGATTGGGTAGTTTTTAATTTCGCTTTGTTTTTTTCAGGTCGGGTTTGGATTTGTTTTGGGGTAAAAGTCCCATGCCTAATTTTTCCTATCATACTAAAAATCTTATTGTTGTACTTGTCTTCTTGTTTTTGCAGAGCAGGCAATCTCAGATGTCTTAAACTTACAGCGTGCTCTCCAGTAACACCAAAGGGACTTGTGAATGTAGTCATGAAACTCCAATTCCTTGAAGATGTCGAGATTTCACACTCCTTTTCAGAACTGGATTTGAAACCTATAGGCTATTGTTGCCCACTTCTGAAGACACTGAAGCTAAGCCGCATTCGTTTCTGCTGGGGCTTGGAGTCTGATAGCGAAGCTCTCGCGATTGCGGAAACCATGCCTCAACTACGCCGCCTCGAGCTTTCTGGGATTTTTCTCACCAACACAGGCTTGAACGCCATTCTCCAAAACTGTATTCGCTTGCAACACTTTGATTTACGCGAGTGTTCCAACATTAACCTTGTCGGAGGATCTTGATAAAGCGATCAAATATTTTGAGATGAAAGTTGTGGATATTGAAGATCTAATTTCTGTAGTTTGGAGATATCAATATTGTGCTTGTCTTGTGATCTTCAACTATCCAATGTTTAGTGAGGACTTAACTAGTGCATTTGCAGCCTTTTTTAGTTTCTCATAGCAAAGAAGACAGATCAAAACAATATCGATAAACTTATTTGTTAAAAAGATATAATTGGTGAGATGTGTAGTTTTGTTTTATTGTAATGAAGAAGTGAATTCTATAAATTGCGCTGGTGAAGTCCTAAGTTAATTTGGTTTGATTCTTTTGTTGTCGTTGGTCTGTAAACTGAAGTTCCATGAACCAAATCAGGTTCAACCAAATTTACTGATAGTACAAAGTAATCTTGATGTTAACATAGAAATAAAAAAGAATCTAAAATTAAAAGTATTATTTTGATAATACGAGAAGATCTTTTCTTTCGACATGTGGCTCGTGCCTCTTAGTCTTTTACAGATAATCCATCCAAGTTTAGGATTGGGTGGTCTAATACATGAAGATCTGCTGCATCGTCAAACGCATCAAAGCACATCTAGACCATTAACAGATGATGAAATGAAAGATGTGGTTAGCTGTAGTTTCGGACATTGACAACTAAAGAAACAATTTTGAAATTCAAAGAGCAAGACACGAAACGATCTATTGGTATTGATATCAAATTAATGCATTCACATTCACTCACACATTTTGGATTGTGAAGCAGAGATTTAGGTCTTCAGTATCTACACTAAACAGCTGATCCTCCTATGATCTACAAAGGTTTCAAGGCCTCGAATATATTGCTTGATGAATAATCAACCCAAGGAAAAGGAGGAAAACAGAGCAAGCGAAAACATTTTCTGCTTTTTGGCAAAATATTTGGTTTATCAATTTTTGTAAGAAAACACGACTTTATTATTTCTGATATAACGCGATTTTGTTAATTTAGCGTGAATATACTATAAAATAATTGATAGATCCTTGGTGGAACTTATTAAAATAAAATATCAATAGTATACTGATGTAAATAGAGAGATAGCTTCAGAAACTTTAAAACTTTATGTCGATAAACTCTAGGAGCATATCATGGAAGAGCTAGTGGCGGACCTAGGAATTTTTTTTAAACTGGGTCAATATCTAGTTTATTAAAATAAAAATTTAAATCAGGTGTCTCGAACCAGAGTTAGAGCAAGTGCATTTTGCACATATCCATATGGATTTCTTCCCAAATTTAATAGATTAAAAAAATATTATTTTAGTTAAAGAAATTTGGAAAGAAACTTGATAATTATGCACAACATTGCATATCTCATATGGGTTTCTTTAAAAAAAAAAAATTGATTTTTAAGTATTTATAAAATTGAAGAAAATAATTATTATTCATAATAACTAGAGTACATTATTAAAAAGACAAATACAACATTTATTACATATAAAACGGGAAAAAAACGCATACAGAGAAAAACAAAGACAAACATACATGTTCTAAACCATATGAAAACATGATTAAGAACCAAATTTGTTCCAAATATGCCAAATCAGCTTTCAATTGGTGATGCTTTTGTTGGTCACGAATATCAGCTCGATTAGCCATAATATTGTGGACATTCGATGGCAAGCGGTCAGGGATGTACTTGTGAAGACCCGCTCCCGTCTGCTCCTCCTTGTTGAAATTCCGTTTCGTTATACTGAGTTTCAGCGTCTCTTTCATCTTCCACAATCATATTGTGTAATATGATACATGCCTTCATTATATTCCCTATCTTCTGCTTATCCATTGTAAGAGACGGGTTTTTAACAATTGCAAATCGAGCTTGTAAGACTCCAAAAGCGCGCTCAACTTCTTTTCGGGCAAACGATTGATGGGCACAAAATAATTTTGCTTTCGGTTCTCCTGGCTGAGGAATTGGTTTGACAAAAGTGACCATTCCGGATATATACCATCTGTGAGATAGTAAGCCATCTTGTATCGGTGTCCATTAACAGAGAATGACACCTTAGGAGCTCGACCTTCTAATATATCATCAAACACGGGTGAGCGGTGGAGAACATTAATGTCGTTTAAAGTACCTGGAGGTCCGAAAAATGCGTGCCAAATCCACAGATCATACGACGCCACGGCCTCTAAAACGATTGTTGGTTTTGCATGACCCCGTGCATATTGTCCTTTCCATTCCGTGGGACAATTTTTCCACTCCCAATGCATACAGTCAATGCTTCCTATTGAGCCGGGAAATCCACGCGTCTCTCCGACCTTGAGTAATCGTTTGAGATCTGCTGGTGTAGGCCTTCTGAGATAGTCCTCCTCATAAAAAAGATGATTGCGTTGTAAATTTATGCAAGCATTTTAGCGCAGTGCTCGCTCCTAGTCTGAGGTATTCATCGACTGCATCAGCTGCATTGCCATATGCAGCATACGAATGGCGGCCGTGCATTTTTGTAAGCCGGTCAGACCCATCTTCCAGTACCATCCGGTATGTGCTGAAAGAAGTAAGTCGGATAGCTTGTTAACTATGCGCATGAACAATGGTCGGTTCATCCGAAAGCGACGTCGGAATATGGCCTCGGGATAGATAGCATTCTCACTGAAATAATCATTGATCAAGCGGATGTTTCCTTCTTCACGTTCTCGATCTACCGCTCGTTTCTTTCTTCTCTTCTCTGGCTCAAGAACTTCATTTATATCATCTAAACACTCTTCCATGTTTTCAAACTCATCATCTAAGGCTTGTTCAAACCCATCATCAAATGAAAAAGGATGTATGGAAGATGATGCCATTTTTGTTTTCCTTTGTAATTTTGATAAGAGAATTTGGTGTTTGAATAGAAGTACAATGGAGAATTTGAAGAGAGGTGTTTTGAAGAGAGGTGTTTTGAAGAGAGGTGTTTGAGAGAGTTTGAAGAGAGTGTTTGAGGAGGATAGTTTGTTATGAGAGATATAAAAAGATATTGAAATAAGAGTAGGTTTTATAGTGAAACATGGCCATCAACTTGTGGTCGAGACACATTGAAAAGTTTGTTCCTTTTCTTATGGCTGAGAGTTGTTTGGTTTCTTGTGGCCGACACAAGTACAATTCAAGTTGCTAAAAGAATAAAACAGGGTATCGAACAACTTGACAAAAACAGGGTATCGAACAACTTGACAAAAACAGAGTATCGAACAATTTGACAAGAATAAAACAGTCCCACCATCTCTTGCTCTTATCTCGCTGGCTCATTCTTTTTACTCTAAACACATGCAAACAACATGATTAGTTACCATCAACACATATACTCTAAACCATATAAGTAAAAACAAATCGAAGCAAACATGGAGAGAAAGTGTTACCTAAGAGTAAGGATTCCTTCACCACTTCCCACTTCTCTCCCATCTTCGCAGAGGTGTCTTTAAGACGCTCAATACATTCCGCCATCTCTCTATCGGACTCACGGGAAGCATTTCCACAGTCCAAAGAACCTTGTTCTGCATCCATCAATTCCCTCTCACAGGCGGCCATATCTTCCCTCAGCTGAATTGTGTGACGATGAAGAGCCCTAAACCTCTCGTAAGACACCATGAATGCCTTCTGAACATGGTTGTGTTTGAGTTTGAGCAAGTCTAACCGGCGCTTCTCCGAGTTGTACACCTCAAGTAGGTCCTGGAATAATAAAAACAAGGAAGCGGATCGTTAAACATCAACTACATTAACTAATCAAAACTCACGCCAATGTAAGCAGAGGAGAAAGCAGATGAGATTATGTTCACTGTGTGATCAGAACAAGGGATCCAGAGAAGTACAATATGAGATTTCAAATGCAACGAATTATGATCTTACAAAAATTATAGCTCAAGACATGGTCTAAACCAATACACAAACATTAACCAATACTCTGTGTTTGTGTATTAACCAACGTTAACAAAACATTAACAAAACCAACACACAAACACAACAACTCTGAAAACAAGGATATTTAAAATCCCAAAAGAGAAAAAAATCTTCATACGTTAAGCATACACAAACCAATACACAAACATTAACCGATACTATCATCCGATTAGAGAGAGTTAAAGACCAACATAATATCGTTCAGAGTTAAAGACCAATATAATATCGTAAGATTCAAGGCCAATATAATATCATTAAAAGAAGAACATGGTTCAGAGTACAATTCATCAATCCTCTAAGCTTCAAACATAAACAACATCACGGATACAACTAAAACAAGTCTGACGACATAAAGACATACAGACATAAAATTAAAACAAACATGAAAACAAGTCTGAAACCGGGAAAACGATAAAATAAGTCTAAAGGCAAGCCAACAGACATTTAACTTAACTGAAACCTACTGATATATCTGACTAATTAGCTTATCCTTCAGCGCTTTCTCTATGTCATTTAGTGGTTCCGTTCTTCCTAAGAGACTAGCTAGGACATGTTTATCCGCTAATGTGTGCTTGTTAGCGAACTGCTTGTCACTTAGAGCAGCTACGGATTGGAGGTTAGTCATAGCAGCCTCCCTCTCTTCGGTGGTTCTCTTCCCCGTCTTAGTTGCCTTGACCTTTGCAGCCTTTGCTGCCTTCACACCAATTGGTCTCTCTTCGACTTGTTCCTCCATGGCACCGCCGTCTACGGAACCAGCTGGCTGTGATCTTTTGGTCTGAGTTTTGCCTTTATCTCTATAAAGAGAACACCACTTCTGATCGTTTCTAAGAGCTCTCCACGCATGCTCTAAGATGAAGTTGGTCTTCATATCCTGGTTATAGAACTTGTAAGCCATCTGGTACACATCATCATCGGATTGGCCGCTTGTAGCTTGACGCCTCGCCTGGTCAAAGCATCCGCAAAACTTCTGCACTTCCTTGTTTACTTTCGTCCATCTCTTCTTGCAAGAATTCCACTCGCGTGGCGGTAAATCCTTCACCGCAGTACACCCGTGGTAGTAGTTGCAAACCCTTTTCCAAAACGCAGAAGCTTTCAGTTCAGTTGCAATGACGCCATCTTTGCTGGTGTTTAACCACGCAGTAACCAGCGCCCCATCTTCTGCGTTTGACCATCGTCTTCTCGCTTCCCGTGAACTCAATGGTGAGCTCTCATCTACACCATCAGCTTCATCTGCTGAATAACTAGTTTGGCTACTAAAGAGAGGACTTTGGTCACCAAAGAGAGGTGTTTGGGTGCTAAACAGAGGAGTTTGGGTACCAAAGAGAGGTGTTTGGGTGCTAAACGAAGGTGATTGGGTAGAGAACGAAGGTGTTTGAGGTGTATCAGTTTGGTTCATGAGGTAGGTGAAGGATCTAGTGTAACTCGAGGGACTATTGGAACCCATTTCGCAAACAGAAAATGATTTTTAGTTTACTTAAATTTTCGTAACCTAGAGGTTTGTTCTAGGGTTAGTGAGATGAGTGAAGAAGAAGCTCACAAAATTGTGTTTTATAGGCAAATTTTGTGTTAATAAAAGCGACAAGACATGAAACCGTTTATGAAAGTTTTTTTTACTCATTTAAGTCTACACTTTTAGTGGTTGACATTGCATTTAACTCGACATAAAGCACCATACAAGCAAAATTCCTAAACGCTCACAACCTAAATCAGACCTATGAACCAATTAAAAGCAACCACAACCACAACCATTTACACCTCTCTACCTAAACGGCAATCAATAACTACAGCCGGAAGCTAATCTATCACACAAAGGCGGAAACCTAACCTGTACTTTCTCGAGCTGATTTGAGTTGTCATCATCTCCAGCAGCTGTCTTCTTCGATGCCATCTTGAGACATGAGGAAAAAGAAGAAAGAATAAATGTTAGTTAAAAGAAAAGAGCATTCAAAGCATAAAGAGTGTTACGCACAGGAGACTCCAATTTTAAGAAACAATGTTACGCACAAAGCATTGAACCCGACATGACACAACAAAAACGATTCAATATGAGATCGCAAACCATTTCCAGGAGATTACAATCACCTTTCAGACAAAACAAGAACTATAATCCAGATTCACACAATTCGATTCAATTCAACTAAATCAGACAACCACAGATGGCAAATCAATTAACCATTTTCACCAAACTCAATTTCCCAATTCACGAATCCGATTTACGGTTTCAGGAAAGTTGGATTTTGTATGCATTCCACGATTCAAACTACTCTACCAGAAATAATCATCTCACCAAAGAATAGAGTAAAGGCCCATACCTGAGAACCTCGCCGAAATTCTGTATACTCGCCTGAAATCGGAGATCAAAGACGAAAAAGCGACAACTGCGAAACGACGAAGAAGGAGAGGAAGATCTGGACGAAGGAGAGGAAGAACTGGACGAAGGAGAAGAAGAACTGGACGAAGGAGAAGAAGAACAGAGAAGAACGGGGTATCGGAGTCGGAAATCTCGTCTCAGCTCGACGAGAAGCGGAGAAAGCGAAGAGGCAAAATGAAATGAAGAAAAAAAAAATTGTCGCAACACCGACGAAGAGAGGCAAACGCAGCTCGTCCTGTGTGCGACACGTGGCCGGAAGAAACGGTTTTGCGCTTGTTTCCCGAGAGACGACTCTCAGAGCTGGGCTTGCCACATCAGATAATTTGGGCATTTGTTTTTTTTTTTGGCTAAAGAAACGGTCCAGAACTGTGCGATGTACTTGCTCTTAGGGGTGTCAGATTAAAGGGTTTCAACTTTCAACTTTCAACCATCAACCAAATAAGTTATGGTATAACTGATATATACACTTACAAATTAAAATGGAATAAAGAAGCTGGAAATGAAAAATGGTATATTATTTTTCATTCAAAATAAAAAAAAATTCTTAGTGAAGGAATTTCACAGGGAAATTCTAAACGATTGGTGTACAGTATTTCTAAAATTTACATAAAAACCAACAAAAAAAAATTATAAAAGTTAGACAAAAGATGGGCATATATTTCCAACCTGGTAAAAATTATAAAAAAGTTTTACTTTATTTTCTGCCAATTTTTATCAGAATATAGGGTGAAACTCTGTATTAGCAAAAAAATCTAATAAAAAAATAATATGTGTTTGGTGTACAATATTTTTAAATTTTATATAAAAAAGTTTTAAAAATATAAAACTTAGTCAATAAGATTTTTTTTTTTATGGTGTGCATCAAAACAAGTATTTTAGTGTTTTCTACCAAATCCTATCAACAAAAAATCCTAACAAAAAATGTAAAATTCTATATTAACAAAAAAATCTAATAAAAATAATACGTGTTTGATGTACAGTATTTTAAAATTTTCATAGAAATAAAAGAAAAAATTATAAAATCATAAAAGTTAGACAAAAGATGGGAATATATTTTCTTTGAACACGTGTTTCAATGTTTTCTACCAAATTTTATCAACATATAGGATGCAACTTTATATTAGCAAAGAAATATAATAATAAAAATATAATACGTATTGGGTGTACATTATTTTTAAATTTTACATAAAAAAACTGAAAAATTATATAACTTAGTTATTAAGATGAGAAGATATTTTTTCCTCGACCGTCAATTAATATATATAGTGAAATATGTTTTTTCATATTACTCATCCAGTAAGCACATAGATGAGTGATACTTTATTTTAATAACTTTTATACTTAAGTGCAGAATTTTTATGAGATCTCGTGCATTAGTGCTAGTATTATCGCATCCGAGGGATACTTTTCTCAAGAAATCCATTTTTCTTTCATTCTTGATTTCAAAAAAAAAATACAAGGTGGGTTAATTGAGTGAGACTTCATCTTTCCCAATTCTGTTTGTTTTCTCAACTTTGAGTGATTTACACTTATAGGCACTTTTGAGTTATTTTTTACACTTAAAGGCACTTTGTGCTACTAAGGGACTTTGGAGTCTTAGAATGACCAAGAAGTCCTTTCTTCTCTTCTTTTATTACAACTTTGTTTACTTTTCTTGTTTTACTTTATCTTTTATTTCCATCGTTTCACCGTTTCATCTCCTTTCCTCAGAGGAAGAAAACAATACAAAGGCTAAGAAGAATAGATGTTGAATCTGGGGAGATTTGTCTTTAAAATAAAGCTAAGAAGAAGAGTTGATGGATCTGAAAAAAAAATATATGTTATTAGATGAATCTAGGTTAATTCGCGATCTGGAAAATTTTATGTTGTTGTTAGAAGAAAAGCTATTGGATCTGGAAAACTTGCAGTTTCTCTGAAATTTGGAGAAGATGAATTTGGGTTAACTCGCGATCATGTCCACATCTACATGTTCATGCAGTCGTGTACACATGTGAGGCGCCCATCTAGACGTCTTTGTTTGGATAATTATTTTGGAATTTGAATGGATCTGGCATGACTCAAACCTCACCATCGAATTGGTATGTTTAGCAAGTTTTGAAAGTCTTATCCGATCAATGTTCATACGATCATGTCCATACGATCATGCCATGGGAGGCGTACAGACTGAAATGCCGGCAGTAGGTAGTGTCGTATATGGTAGCTGTGACACGAACATGGTCATTGGTGGACCGAATGATGTGGATGGGAACCGTGACTCTGATAGACAGCAGTCCATGGACGGTAACTCCAGCTGTCTAAGGGTGATATTGTTGGACTAAATCTTCTTTCATTAACATATACGATTTATTGTATATGAAAATCCACATCAACCAAGATTTTGTTATGGTTATACTATTGTATTTGAAAGTTATTGTGTTGCTAGCTTTAGCTTTGGCGTTTTACATTATTTCTCAACTTCATGTCTACTTTAACCTCAACATGTCAATACATTAGTGTTTTGGGTGAGGCACCCCTCATTTTCACTTTTGTTTACAGTTTTAATTGTTTGGAATATAAACAATTCGTTTATAAGAAACATTTACTTAGAGTAAGTGATCTCTTATGCTAGTGAAATAGTTAAAGATAAAATGTTTGAATTTTTGTATCTTGATTGAGATGTATGCGTGTACATGACTGTGTGGACATGAAATCATGGATCTCTTCGTGATCTTAGTAGTTTTAATGGATCTAATAGACCTATTGTATTAAAATTAGTTAATTGTTTTCTATATCCAAACGGGTCCGTCCATATGGCTATGTCCAATTGTTGTGTATGTACATACATCCCTTTTTAGGTCATCTTCGATGTCCAATATCCACTCACTCATATACAAAAATCCATCCCATTATTATGTATTAGCCATCAACATTACACATCCCTCCATGAAGGGGTAAAAATATAAGCATGTTTGAACTGTATCTATGCTGAGCAGTCCACGAAATTGAATCTAGATGTGACCAATACATCATTTATCTGTCGATTGTGACTCGTGGACGGATTTGTATGGATATGATTTTTAATGATTCGACTCTCATTAGTTGAAAGTATGTAATATAAGAGGATTTGTTGTTTTTTATCTCTATTGTTAAACATAATGCATTTATGCATTCAATAAAACGTATATGTTGATGAAAGAAGATTGTGTCCACGATTTGTTGTTCTTAATTGTATCAATGGTTTCTATTCATATGAGACCTAAGAAATTCGCTAGAAAGACCAAGATAATGAGAGAGCTAAATATGTATATGTTATTCTGTCCACGAATTCATATCCACAATATCATGTCCACGACTTCATGTGGCTATTGGTCCCTCCTGTAAAAATTGTATATTGAGTTTTGGATAGATTGAGAATCAATTTCAGAACCATATTTACACAATGATATGAACATAGGTGTTATATATCCATATGATACGAAGTATGGACACAAGCATATGAATACGGTTCTATGAAACAGTCTAGGCGATAAACAATAACTCAATAAACACTCACTCAGTTGTTAGTTATCTTTGAGTTCACAAATCATGTACACGGAAACATGTCCACACACACATCTTATGCAAATTCTCAAAATTTAATTATCCAAACACAGACGTCCAGATGGGCGCATCACTAAATATGTATATGCTATTCTGTCCACGAATTCATATCCACAATATCATGTCGACGACTTCATGTGGCTATTGGACCCTCATGTAAAAATTGTATGTTGAGTTTTGAATAGATTGAGAACCAATTTTAGAACTATGTTTACACATTGATATGAACATAGTTGTTATATATCCAACAAGCATATGGATACGGTTCTATGAAATAGTCTAGGCGATAAACAATAACTCAACAAACACTCACTCATTTGTTAATTATCTTTGTTCACAAATCATGTACACGGGAACATGTCCACATACACATTTCATGAAAATTCTCAAAAATTAATTATCCAAACAAAGACGTCCAGATGGACATGTAGATGTGGACATGATTGCGAGTTAATCCTGATTCATCTTCTCCAAACTTCGACGAGACTGAAAATTTCCCATATCCATTAGCCAGAATAATTTTTTTTCGACGAATTCGACGGCAAAATCTTCCAAATCGATTATCAATACAGAATTCAACGACGAAATCTCATAGCCAGCAGAAATTTACCCGACAAATTCAACGACGAAATTTTCCAAATCGATTATCGATACATAATCTCTTGCCTACAGTTATAAAAACAAATCTCTCCCAGATCCAACAACCGTTCTTGAGTTATTCCGGCGAGTTCATTGAAAACAATGCACAAATTTACTGCAGGATCTGTGGTAAAAAAACTTCTCCAAAGTAAAAGGGAAACAAAGACAATTTATTGGAAGGACAGCTTTGGAATCTTGCTACCCTTTTTTTAGTGATTTACACTCATAGGCACTTATGAGTTTCAATCTTACAAAAAGGCACTTTGTGCTCCAAGGTGACTTTGGGCTAATAAAAAGACCAAAAACTCCTTCTCTTTATTTCTTACTTGAATCCCATAATTTCACCTCCTTCTTCCTTTCATATTTTACTTTGTTTTTTACAACACATTAACTTAAATAGAGAAGATAGAAAAACCCTAAAATTCACCACCGTGATTTCTCTGCCGTTCCCGTTGCCGATACCACCGTAGTATCAATTAACGAGTTTTCATCCGTTCTAACCAGCAATTTCTTCCGACGAAGTTTCTCTGTTTGAAGGATAGTTATCCCATAGAAATCTCGTCATCTCTTTATGCGTTTAAAAGATGAATACATGAAAAGCCATGGAAGGTGATTCTACTTTCTCACTCCACTTAATATCAAAATAAGCATAAGTTTAGGAAGAAGAATGGTGTAGATATCTTTTAACTTTTCTGATTTCTCACAGGAAGCAAAGTTTCTGTTGAAGATTCGATAAACGATAAGCTGGCGGAGAAAGATGATGGGAAGATTATTTTATCCACATTCAGCTGTCCATGTACTGTTGGCCACATGTGGTTGGCCATCCGCCAGCTGTAAAATATGATGGAAATAACTTTTGTATGTTGTAATGGTTATCATTTGTATCCATGTATAACATGTGTATCCATGACATACATTCGGATATTTACGCTTAAACTGCTTGGTCAAGTGGATGTGGATAAGATTTGTGATCAAAATGTACAGCAGTTCATGGACAAAGATCTCGAATTTTCGAATGAGTCTTGCGTGGATAAGCTTTCTTGTACCCCGTCCAACTAGTAGCAAGTGGGACTCCTTCTCTGAATTAAGCAGTTGTGTCCTCCCGTTGTTTTCTTGTCCGTCTGAAACAGAATACAGATCTGCTAATGGGTTGTACTTGTCCATGTGAAAGTATCAATTTCTTGATATTAGCCACTCTTATCAACGAATTAGACGGCCGTTGTTTCTGTGTCTGAAGGATAGCTATTCCATAGGAATATTGTCGTCTCCGTTTGCGTTTAGAACAGGGATACATGGAAACAGTGGTACAACAAGTGGTGGACGGTATACCTGACCTTGGTAAATAGGAAGATATGGTCATGGATATAAAACTCCGTCCAGTCACCCATCCACATAGCCACGCAGGTGGGAGAGAAGAGCGTACATGAAGAACCTACTCCACCAGTTATTCCCGGAAATGTAACACCGTCCACAGTCCCCCATACACAGAGATGTAACTTCTTGGAAGAATGTGGAGGAGAATAAGAAAGTATGTTACATAACTGAAGCACACTGGATGGGCGTGCTTCAACCGTGTCTCCGGGACACAATGGGTAAGAGAGTCTCCGCCGCGTCGTCTAGGGTCATGTGACAGACTTAGGAATTGAGTGACAGCAAATAGCTCCACTCTCTCTTAACTCTTTGGGAAAGATTCCAACCTTTGCATGCTGATACCAAGAAACTGGTACCATGAAATGAAATGCAAAAGGGTTTTTCTTGCTTGTTTAGTAAGGGCCAAGTCAGTGGGGGATCTGTCGGGCTCCAAAACTCCTGAATAGGAAGTGGTTTGAAAGCTTCAATGAAGCAAGATAGAACGTACAAGGAAAGAGAAAACGCTTCCTAATCTACTTGAGTAGCTCCTTCGGCAGTTGGACTGTCATTCCCACTTTTATCTGACCTTTGCTCATCCTTTTTATTTTCTCACAAATCTTTTACTATTTCTGCCAGCTATAGGAAACTATCGGCAGTGATGGAGATACTTATCTCTAAATTTATTTGATAATTGTATTTGTATTTATGTGTGGATAGTTATTTGTGGATATACGATCATGGATGTTATTGTGTGTATGACAACATGGCTTATAATATGTGTATATATCAATGCATGGATTGAGTAAGTGGCTATTAGCAACATTAAAACATAGATAAAAAAAAACAGGTTTCTATTTAAATTTCAGCCTCTTGCATCAACAAAACCTGCACATGAGTTCAACTTCAGCCTCTTGTGTTGCTAGCTCTATCTTTGGCGTTTTACATCTCTTCTTAACTTTATGTCTAATTTAACCTCAACCTGTCAATACATTAGTGTTTTTGGTGAGCCATCCCTCATTTTCACTTTTGTTTACAGTTTTAATTGTGTGGTATTTGAACAATTTGTTTATGAAAAACAATTACTTGGAGTAATTGATCTCTAATGCTAGTGCAATAGTTAAAGCTAAAATGTTTATTTTTTTTTATCTTGAATGAGATGTGTATGTGGACATGTCTGCGTGTACATGACTTTGTGGACACGAAGTCATGGATCTCTTCGTGATCTTAGTAGTTTTGATGGATCTCATAGACCTATTGCATTAAGATTAGTTAATTTTTTTCTATATTCAAACAGATTCGTCCAAACAGATCTCAAAGACTTATTGCATTTCAACACAAAGTAGTTACTCTTCGTCGTGGTTTGCCAAATTAAACATGCTTTTGATTGCGTAAACAACAAGAGCTACTTGAAAAAAAATCTTACTAGAGTATACTTTCCCTACAACAACCTCTCCACCCATTTCGTCAATGTCTAGATCAGGGATTTTGGAGCTATCGTATAGCGTGTTGTCAAATAGCGGAGGTATATCGAATTCCTCATCGTCTATGGTGCACATGGGGCGTGTATGTGTTACATTCTCCCGTACACTTCTACCCTGACGCCTGGATGAGTTTGAGATATCTCTGTCCATTGTATACTGTCCATCTGAACCTATACTTGGTCCATATCTTATGGATGTCCGTCCACAACTAGCTGTGTTTTTACCATTTGCACCCGCATATGTCTGACCACCACCGCCCTTCGATGTGGACATCCCACTAACGCTTTCAGTCTTCCAGACGTCATTGTTTCCTCCTGCAACGATGTTGTGGTCGAAGGCATTGTTTGCTGTACAATGGTATCGTTGGGTCAACATTGATCGGTGGACCATGTTATCGTACATGAAATCAGCTGCGTAAGATAACAGTGTTCCTTTATAGTTATACGACCTTAGGGACATGACCAAATAAGACTGAACACTTGCTCAATAATGTGTGTCGTTGACAGTTCCTTGTAATATTAATGAGGCGTTTATGGATAAACACTGCCCCATCACTTTATGGATACTGAGAATGAGGTTTTGCATACACGGTATATTATCCACGACCACTTAATCTGTCCGTGTTTTGCTCTGCCCCATCCCGTGATGACCGGTTAACTATGTTCGCCAGTCCATTGCAACTTGTCCATGAAATTAAGTCCAAATGTCTCCATCCGAGTGGATGTTTCGCCAGCATACGTACTCTGTGTACATGGCCTCTTGTCCATGCGTAATAATCTACGTCGTCGTCGGATGGTTGAGAACATTGATACGCTCCTCTCTAGTTCGGTGATATACCTCTAATTTACCCACTTTTTATACTGTTTTAGCATTGTTTTCTAATGGTTTTTGGCAGGTTTTCTATCTAAAAAGGTAGTTTTACTGTGTTTATAGTGTCTAGAGTCTAAACAGGTGAAATGATGCATTTTGGAGCAAAACCATAGGATTTGCACTTCAAGCAGCTCCATGCACAAGCACCAACTTTAAGAGGGCCCAGAAAAAGATCTACTCAATGGATTTCATCAAGACCAGTTCCCTGCGTGCTCTGATTGAGTTAACTTTCCAACGCAATTGGAATGGCCTATTTGGATGAGTAGAAAAGGAGTTACAACCAAAAGAGTGAAGACTGCTCCAGACGGCTCTATCGAGAATCAGCGCCCAACCGCGCAGTCCGGCTGGCCGAGGAACGAATGTTCGCGCTCGGCCAAATCTCGTCCGTCCGTCTGAAGTCTCGGCCAAAGTCCAAAACCGTCGGCCGATCACGCAAGTCACGACCCGGGAAACTATTGCCCGCGGTCGGCCACGCCACGCCACGACCGCGCACGACCAAAGCGCGCGAGCCGGGAAACGCCTCGCGGCCGCGCAACTCATCCGCGTACCACGGCCGATGCGCCGTCCGAGCCGGGAAACTACGTCCCGCGTCCGGCCGAGATTTCATCGGCCAAATCTCACCCTCCGACCACGCCGGCCGACCACGCATCCGTCCGACCCCGACCGTTCCGACTCGGCCACAACCCGATTGTCCGGCCGATCGTCCCGCACGACCGTCCCAACGCCGCGGTCGACCCGAAGCCCTTTTTGAAGCCCAAACTTATGTTTTCAAGCCCGGCTTAACCCTAGCCGCCTCTAGAAAGACCTAGCACTATATATATGGATTTTTAGCCTCTTGAGAAAGAGAGCCGCCCTGTATTTCGATTTCCTACTCTAAGTTTTATTGCAATCATGTTTTCTTCATCTCTATGTGTGTTTGCTTTGATCATGTCTGAGTAATCCACTAGTTAGGTTGCTAGGGTTACTATTCAATGAGTTGCTTGCATGATCTTTGATTTCAATGATTAGCTAGGGATTATATTAGAGTCTTTGTCTCGTCTTGTGCACTTAACTAATGCTGATTGCTTTACCGCGCATCTAGTAATCCGATCTTAGGTTGATTTGAGCCTCGACAGTGTTGTATCATTCGCCGGACATATTCTTTGACAAGCTAGGTTTCTTAGACTGCGAAAGTTGATCTATCTATATCTAGTGAACTGTATCAGAACCTATTCATTCTAATGCTTGATCTAATCACCTAGGGACATACCAAAAGTTTAGCGACTAGGTAGATTAGCAAAGGAGCCGGAGCCTCGAAAGTGGAATGGTTTTATATTCGTGATCTGTGTTCTAGATGGTTCTTAATATCCCAATATCCCTAATCAATTAATCTATCATTGTTTCATTGATCATTGCTTGCTTCTCTGCGATAGCCCCTATGACCTAGCGCTTTTCCTTTATTGCTTACAACCTCGTTATACTTGCTAGTTCGGTTCACCATTACAACCTCAATCATACTTTTGTTTTAGCTTGATCCAAAATCCATAGTTCAAAGTGTACTCAATAGCCAGTCCTTGTGTTCGATACCCATACTTCCGCGATCTGTGCACTTGCAGAGGTCTAGGAGTTTGGTAAAACCTGACTCCGCATCATTCGGCACAGAAAATTCCAGTTCCCTTTTAAATTGTGGAATGGATTTGGAAGAAGGCAAAATTGGTAGCTTTCTTCAGCATTCGGATGGATTTCTCGAGATCCAGAAACTTCTTCTTCTTAAGCTCACTTGTGCTCATCCTCCGACGTAGTTGTCGAATTACTCCGGCGATGTGTTGAAGCTTTAGATTTCAAAAAGAGTTGCAGCGGTGAAAGTAATTTCATCTTCCCCTTCACGAGAAAGTGAATTTTGACAATATTGTTAAAAGGGCAAAATTAGAATTTCTAGTATATCTTTTGGATCCAAAACTCATCAAAGTCACCCAAGAGCCAAAAGTGTCTGTAATATGTAAGTCATAAAGTGCTTTTCACTGTAATTTTCTCTTTTTTTTTTGCCAAAGTCCTTTAGTAACTCAAAGTCCCTTTAAGTGTTATTAGAAAGTGTAAATGTGTCTTTTGAGTGTAAATCAACACAGCAAATCAACACATAGGACTTTTTAAACTTCTTCAGACTGACACATCAGTTAGAACGACCAGCCAATAGAAATATTTCAATTACTACCAGTCGGCATTTTGTTTAACCACGTCAGCTCAAATCCTCCGCTGCAATCGATCCTCTTTCTCTCTCTGTCATTCTCAAACTCAAGCTATTTCGTTTTAAAATCTCTCTCTCTCGCTCTCAGCTGCAACCTCGATCTCCATCTCTCTCTCCCTATGTCGTTCTCTATTTTACCACGGCGGAGTAAGTTTCTTTCCTTCTCATATTGTTCTCCCCTGCAATGTCGATCTCAGGGAAAAACCAGGGAGAAGCGTAGTGAAATCCTTCAAGGATTAAGAGTAGCCTAGCTATAGGTGAACCACTCCGATAAGAGGAGATTGCCACCCTTGCGGTATCTTCGAGCTAAGAGGGTGTCTTTGATTGCTCTATCAATCTGACGGAAAATCTGTGACGGTGCCAAAGCAATAGAAGAATGGAATCTGCAGTTTCTCTCCTTCCATAGAAGATAGACAGTTGCCTGAGCTGCGGAGTGTCGGAGGATTTTCGAGTGTCCTGTTGGTGGACGAGATTGAAGCCAAGACAATAGATTTTGCCAAGACCCAAAAGTCAAGTTTGATTCACCCAAACGTGAGAGAACCTGGAGAGAGTAGCTGCAGGACAGAAATAAGTGGTCACGAGTTTCTGCAATTTGGGAACAAAGATAACAGATTGTGCTAATATTCATTCCCCATGAAGCCATTCTTGATTTTACAGGAAGTCTATGAGGTTGGCTGCCCAGAAGGTGAAAGCGTGTCTTGGTACCGCCATTATAAACCATACTACTTTCATCTTTTTCTTTGGGTTACACAATGTTTATTTTTACTCTTTAGTTTTAAGTTGGAATCTCTCGAAGTTTCGATGTTCGATATCTTAATTTGTGCTTTTCTAGAATGAAGCAAGAGAATTATATCTTAGTTGTATGTTTTGGTTTAGTCACTGTTCCTTCATACTCTTAGGATAGAGCTTTCCAAGCTATTCGATACAGCTTCATCGGAGGAATCTGCGCTCTGATGTCAGCTATTCGATACAGCGTTAAAGGAATCTGAGCCGACATGTCAGCTCTGGCCTTATAGTCCTAAACGGGAAATCAAAAGCTAGAACAAAGGCTGAGAGGTTGCGTTGATGTTCGTGGTGGGATTTGTGCTGCTGTTCATAGTGAAAAAGAGCTATGGATGTTAACAATCTCTGTTTGCAAATTGAGTTTCTAATTGGAGTTGATCTTGTCACCTTTTTGGTGATTTGAGTGTGGAGAAACCCATTTGAGTTGATTAAAGCAAACAACCACAAGCTTTTTGGTCCAAATCTTTGTTGCATAATCCATAAAATATCCGCATATTGGCATCCAGTCTTTGTCGTGGCTTCGGAAATCATCAGCTTGGCCTACATTGCTTCTTAAATAGAAAAAGTAATAGTATAATATCTAGGAGAGTTGCTCTCTCCATCTAGGCTATCCACATCAGCAAAAAAATTCATTAAATTGTTTTTAAGATACTTAATACATGACTATTCATATTTCTTTACCTATATTTATATTTTTAAATATAAATAAAACTAAGAAAAATACAACTAAATTACTTAATTAATATAAAGTATGTGATAACTTGATGTTAAAAGTTATCAAAAAGTTTGGATATAAGTAAAAATATATTTAACTTGAAATGGTATATATTTACCTTTTTATTAAAAGATTTATCCTACTTCAAAATGTTATAATGTGTTTACAAGTTAAAAAGTTGAATATAAATTAATTAAGATAATAAAAAACCAATGAGAAATTAGAGTTAGAGTTTGCTTTTTAAAACAAATAGAAGTCGAGTTTTTATATGTAAATTTAATTGCAGTGAAAAACATGAAAATTTTAAGGATTGTGATATGTTTGTTTCCAAATATATTCAATTACAAAACTAACATAATAGAAAATAATCAATGGTCATGAGGCTCATATGCTACCACAACAAAGTAGATATGTATAAAAGTATATATATTATTTTTTTCATCTATTTCGGTGCAAATGCGATTTTACATTATACTTACAAATTTTAACGCTAGTCAAATACATATGCATGTTTATAGTCTAACAGAAGTAAACAAACATAATATTTATAACATTCTAAAATGTTAGAAATAGAAAATTCGAGATAAAGTAGGGTGTTAACATCCTAATAAAATAAAATAAAAGGATGTGCGATGTGAGATAAAGTATAAATAAAACTAAATAGAAAACTATTGCAAACAACCCCGCGCTTGCGCGGGGCTTCAAACCTAGTATTTTATAGTTATATGGTGTCAGAAAGAGAAATTGAATTTGACTCGAGAAGGCTTTTATCACTTGGGACTCGAGAAGATCACATTGTACAAACTAAATACTCCGTCTGTCCCATATTATGAGCAGTTTGCCAAAATGTATTTACAAAAAAGGTGGATGTATCTGGATGCAACAATGTCCAGATACATCCACTTCTTTACAGATACATTTTGGTAAATTGCTTATAATATGGGACAGAGTGAGTAACTTATTGAGAGCTACAAACATGCTTGCCTGATTCGTCTCAAACGCTTACTGCAACTCGGTAGTTAAATTGGTTTTATGTGACTTCCTTCTGATGCTTTCTAAACTTGTAAAGCTCTCAGAGTAATTAATCTGATTAATAATAAAACAGGTGAACAGAAACAATGCAATCGAGAAAATGCTTATTTGTATGACCAAAGAGGTCTTGTATTTGGTTATTTGCTTTTCACAGTGACGATTGCCCTTCTCTGGAAATTTTATATTGTAATGAGAATTATGTTTTGCAAATTATTAGAGTTACTGCTTTGAAAAAGCAGCCTTATACGTCCGAAAGTATATTCAGATTTAAAAAGGAATTTGTAAGTTCTTGGGTTCAACTTTTCAGTCTTGGGGTTTTATACAATGTTTTCCATGAAACATATCTAACAATTCTTCATCATCAAGTAATTATGTTAAAAGGAGAGAATATAAAACAGGAAACTCGGTTTACTTTGAACTAACACGGTAGTTTCTTGCTGTATTATCATCAGATTGTGTTCACTTCAAATTTGGTAAATAGCAGCCTATGATAAAAGGTATATGATCTAATGTTGGGGTCAACTAGGTTTTGCTTAAGCAAAAAAATCTTTTCAACGTTTAATACAAATCCTGCGGCGTTAGCGCCGGTCACTAACCTAGTATCTCTTAAAAGTTCATGATTTTTTTTTTTGATGAATAGAAGGTTTTGGATTGGTGGACACGTACATCCCATTGGGCAAGGCCTAATTCAACTTTTTTTCTGGAAAGTACATCTCTTTCAAGCGTCATTTGATCGTGTGATCTCTAAGCGTTATCTAAGGTACTTTTCCATTTTATCAGAAAGAAATCTCATAACTTTTGATGAATGTACCTTAAAAGCTCTAGAACCATTTAAGCATATAACAAACAAACGAATTCCTAGCAAGTTGGTTCACGAACTCAGATTCTTTGAAAGCAATGTTTTTTTTTGTTTCATAGTATTTGGGCAAAATTTAACCGGTTCGCAAGTACAATAAACGGAATGACGCAGGAGAAGATATCTTATTAATCAATTGAATATCGAGCTACAACAAGTCAATATCAAAGATTAAACTAAGAGAATCTCGTCTGTCGCTCGTCGTAGATCGTAGTTCGTCGTATCTAGGTTGTTCGTCGCTTGCTCGTCGAGAGGCGAAGAACAAGTAGCTATTAGGGTTTTTGTGTGTTTTTCTGAATGTCCCCTTGTCCTTGTTATGGGACCTCTTATTTATAGGTGCTTGTCGATCCTAATCCTTGTTGAGTTGGGCTTTGACGTCGGTCGTAATATTCCATTTCCTACGTCGGTCGTCATTCCTAATTTCCTTTTAATTAGATATGCACGTCGGTTCTCTGCACAACTCTAATAGATTTAGGAAATTGTACAAACCATCGGTCATTGCTAAACCATTAATTAACATCGTTGGTCGCTGCCTCGTCATGTCGATGCTAAGGCCTTTTAGACACTAAGAAGTAAGATCGACCGGTGGTCATCATGGTCGTCAGTCGATCATATCTCCAGCTTGTAATAGAGTTTAAGGAGCGACCGGCTAGTGAATTTATTTCACCCAACAACTTGCCCCCTACTCTTCAATTTCTTGTTTAGAATTTGTAGAGTAATACTTCATTTTCATATCGTCGGTCGGTCGCTTGCTCATGTCACTTGTGTGACTGTTGTTAGTTTACTAACGTCGATGTACAAAAAGCATATATGTCTAATGGCATTGTCCCTTTTAACATATTATCTGTGCACATACTAATGGAGCAACATAACATATAATTTAAATAAAAGATCCCAAAGACATACCTTTTTTCTTCGTTCGTCGATGGCTTATGCGAGTGACAAACTAACATGTGGAAATAACTAAGCAAAATAAGAGGGACGTACTTATTTTAATATCCATGTGGGATTGATTAAGAATGGAGATGGACAAGCTTCTTTCTCCAATGACCAATGACAAAGTTTTATTCTTGAAGCATGTACGTCCTTCCCTTTTTTTCCATGTGGGTCCCAAAGAAGTTGTACTTGACCACTCATGTAGCTTTATTAAAATTGAGGAACGACGTACATTAATTATGTAGTTGTGTTGTTTGTTTATGTAGAGAGTGACCAGCGACGAACATGTTTAGTCGTGCCTCTTCCTTTTTTCTCTTAATCGTCGAGCTTCATTTTCTCCAATCTTAAGTAAAGAGTATTTTTTCAAATCGTCAGTCGTTGCTCGTCAATGCTGTTTCGGACCTTGCTCCCTTTCTAATGTAGATGTTATTCATTTCTTTTGTATGTCGCTCATTTGTCTTCTTTTGTCGTTCCCTCTCTCTTTATTTGGAGTTGTTGATCCTTTTTCTTTGATGTCGCTTGTATAATAGATAATTAAAGAAGAGAATTTCAAGAAGGAGAGACATACGTACATGTCGGTCGCTAAAATGATATCCTCTTAAAGGGACCCACATTTTCTTAATGTATGTGCTTCCTTTCCTTTCCAACACTGATTTATTTATATAGGAATAAAAAGGTTGTATGTTGTTCGTCGATCTTCCTTTGTCAGTGGATAAGCAGCTATTAGGCTGTGAGAGGGCTATACCCCTTCGTTTATTGTCATATTTTCACGAGGACGTACCTCTTGATTTTGTAGATGTTGTCACAGATTAAGGACGTACCTCTTCATTTGTAGCTAATGATTTATGATCATAACATTTGGAGGTCGTGCCCCTTTGTTAATCAAAGAGTGATGTGACATCATAGTCTATTGGAGGTCGTACCTCTAACTTATTTGTTAGCGACTGTCGTCGCTATCTATTGAGTACGTACCTCTTTATTTATATCATGACTTATCATGGTGAGGTCGTACCTCTTAATTTATTTAGTAGCGACTGTCGTCACTGTATATTGAGGACATGCCTCTATCTGTTTGCTTATGACTTGTTGTCATAGCATGTGGAGGTCGTACCTCTAAATTAGTTATCAGCGACTGTCGTCGCTGTCGATATACATTGAGTACGTGACTCTTATCTTCCTAGTGACCATGGTCAATTTGCTCATGAGGCATTGCCCTTAGTTTTTTTAAGAAACGTCGATCGTCGTTGTTTCTCTATCATGAGGAGGCAATGCCTTTTTTTTTTTTTTACTGTCGTTTGTCATAAGCAGTGCAATGACTGTCGCTCGTCACTAGTTGTGGATACAACGTCGATATTAAAGCGAGTGACGAACATAATCTGAGAATTCTTAAATACTCATATGTAGAAAAAC